GGAGAGATTCATGATTATATGCCCAACCCGAAAATACTAATATAAGGCAGATATCATGGTTCCTCGCGGGATTGAAAACACAATCGCGATACAAATGATAGTGAAACACATTCAAAGGGCCCTCCTAAACAAATCTAAGGAGCATGTCAAAGCACTCCGAGCTCTCGGTCAAGGCCACGACGCAGACGAGCCACTCCCGCCAAGTGTCAAGGTCCTTCCAGACTCGCCGCAACTTCAGGGTATGCACACAATTATTCACGACACGGATACATCACGCGAAGATTTCATATTCTACTTTGATCGTGTCGCTGCCCTTCTCGTAGAAAAGGGCATGGACCATCTTGCTTTCAAACAAAAACAAGTAGAAACTCCTCAAGGAAATAAGTACTCCGGCCTGGAACTTTCTCGGGACGTCAGTGCAGTTGTCATACTCCGATCTGGGGGTGCTCTTGAAGTTGGTCTTACAAGGGTTGTCCCGGATGCCAGGATTGGAAGGTTATTGATTCAGTCTAATGTGCGTACCGGGGAGCCAGAACTACATTATCAGAAACTTCCATCGACTTTGATACACGATAGCGTCTTGGTTTTAGACCCGCAAATCACAACCGGGGCAGGAGCCTTGATGGCCGTGACAGTTCTCAAAGATTATGGAGTTGAAGAGGACCGTATTGTCTTTGTAACTTACTTGGCCAGCATAGTTGGCTTACGTAGATTAACGAAGGTTTTCCCGGGGGTAAAGGTAATCGTCGGGAAAGTCGAGGACGGTTTTGAGAGAAGGTTCATCGACGAGAGATACTTCGGGAGCTAGATTTTTTCTCTTTTTCTTTTTTTTTCTTTCTTTTTTTTTTTTTTTTTGAAAGTTCTGTTCATGATCATATAACAAGGTATATTATAGCAGTGGCACATGAATGAGAGCTATACATACATAAGTTCTATGTTGTTGAAATCCAGTCGTCCCTTCTCGAGGCCAGGGACATTCGCATAAAATGTTGCATAAAATGTTGCGTAAAAGGTTGCGTAAAAGATGAGAAACCCAGTGTCAAGTGTAAAGATTACAGTAGTAATTTCCCCTACGTTTCTGTCACTCTACGTAGCTACATGTATATTATTAGTGTAAGATCATGATACATATATTTAGGAACAAATCGAGCGATATAAACAGGCTTGACCCAAGCAGTCAATGGCTAAGACCAAGAGATTACTCATAATTCCGCTCCGTAAATACACACGTTCAAAAATCCAAATCGCCAGAGTCGAAGCTTTGAGCTGATTGTATTTAACTACATGTACTTCACAGTTAATGGTTTCAGCCACATGCGGCTTGTGTCTGTGTGTGTGTGTGGTGGGGCTCTAAATCTCAAGGTCTTGGCGGCATTTCTCAACCTACTCACAACCTACAAACTAACTTTCTTCCCCTGACCTCAACTACGTACCACAACATATCTCATCGTTTGTCTGTTCAGAGATTCAGTTTCAATGTCTGCAACTAGTCTCTTAAACCCTAAAGCGGAATCTGTTCGTAGAGGAGAGGCTCTTCGTGTTAATATTGCTGCTGGCGAAGGTACGTTTGGGTTTCCCCCACCTTAATCCTATCAACTGCTAATGCCTGAGCCATAGGATTACAGGATGTCCTAAAATCAAACTTGGGTCCTTCGGGAACTCTGAAAATGCTGGTAGATGGATCCGGTCAGATTACATTGACAAAGGATGGCCAGAAGCTTCTCCGTGAAATGACAATTCAGAACCCTACAGGTACGAAGCCATAATTTTAGTCCCTAATATATTCCACCGGAAGTATCTTACTAAATTTTGATGGGACATAGCTGTTATGATTGCTAGAGCAGGTAAAATAGCGAACTCCAACGGCCTTAAATACCAAATTAGAGGCGGGGTAATCGAAATTTGCTGACCCTTATTCATCAGCAACTGCATTGGATGATATTGCAGGTGATGGGACTACAAGTGTAGTACTGTTGGTTGGCGAACTGTTGAAACAAGCAAGAAGATATATTGAGGAAGGACTACACCCTCGAATCATCACCGAAGGTTTTGAAATCGCTAAAGTTGAGGCTCTCAAGGTAAGTAAATCCCGCCATACGCAAAATTGCTTCTATGGAAAGCTAACAATCATTAAAAGTTTCTTGATGACTTCAAAATTCTTCGCGAACCTGATCGGGAGCTTCTTCTCTCTGTTGCACGAACTTCTCTTTCGACAAAGTTGAACAAGACTCTTGCAGAATCTCTGACTCCCAGCATAGTTGACGCCGTCTTAGCTATCTACAATCCGCCCGCCAAGCCAGATCTTCACATGATAGAGATAATGAAGATGCAACACCGTACTGCCTCCGAGACCCAGCTTATTCGTGGCCTTGCCTTAGATCACGGTGCTCGTCACCCAGATATGCCAAAGCGCGTTGAAAATGCATTCATCCTCACCCTCAATGTTTCTCTAGAATACGAGAAAAGTGAAGTCAACTCTAGTTTCTTTTATTCCTCCGCCGCTCAAAGAGAGAAGCTTGTGGAAAGCGAGAGAAGGTTCGTGGACGAGAAGTTGAGGAAAATCGTCGAATTGAAGAAAGAAGTTTGTGGGGATGACCCTAAGAAAGGCTTTGTAATCATTAATCAGAAGGGTATTGATCCTTTGAGCTTGGACGTTCTTGTTAAGAACGGAATCTTCGCTTTGAGGAGAGCAAAGAGAAGGAACATGGAACGTCTACAGTTGGTTTGCGGTGGTGTTTGTCAGAATAGCGTGGATGACTTGTCCCCTGAGGTCCTTGGTTGGGCAGGTTTGGTTTATGAGCATACTCTTGGGGAAGAAAAGTACACTTTCGTGGAGGAAGTCAAGAACCCGAAATCAGTTACTTTGTTGATTAAGGGTATTGGCAGCCCGTTTCCAATTTCATTCAATCCTCTGCTTACCAAGCTATACAGGTCCCAACAACCACACAATCACACAAATTCAAGATGCTGTTCGTGATGGACTAAGAAGTGTTTACAATATGATTGTTGACGGATCTGTTGTTCCTGGAGCTGGCGCCTTCCAGGTCGCTTGCGCTGCTCACCTCACTGGAGAAGCTATGCGCAAGCAAGTTAAAGGTAAAGCAAGGACAGGTGTCCAAGCCTTTGCTGATGCATTATTGATCATCCCGAAAACTCTTGCTGCGAATGGTGGTTACGATATTCAAGATTCCTGTAAGTCGTCCTCTTCAAAATCTTCAACGTGATTCGTATTAACAGGAGAAATAGTGGCAGCACTTCAGGATGAACAGGTAGAAGGGAATATTGTGGGAATCAACCTCGATACCGGCGAGCCGATGGATCCAGTCGCGCAGGGAGTGTTTGACTCTTTCAGAGTTTTGAGAAACTCAATTGCTAGCGCTTCCAGTATCGCCAGTAACCTTTTGCTCTGCGACGAGCTGCTCAAGGCTAGGCAGATGGTATGTTCAATACATTCTAGGATGAGTTTCAATATTTACTAATTTTTCTTCTTCTTTTAGGGCGCAAAGACTGGACCTGGGGCTCCTGAAGAGTAGGATCTCCCGCAAAACAGGGCATGCTTTTTCTAGATATCACAATCTATAGAGAGCTTAAGTATGATATTATCAAGGCTTGATTGCGATGCTAGAGATATCCAGAATAAAGATCATGAAACCATAGGTTTGTCAAAACCAATCAAAGCAAGTTGTCAATCGGGATCCATCAGGTTAGGACCGGCCTTCGCCTACCTGCCCGGTAATCAATATCTAAAACCTTGAATTTGAAACACTAGGTGATTTTGAGCGTTTCAATTTGCCCAAAACTACTCCGCCTGGTAGATCCCACAAGCTGCTTATGTAATATCTACAATTGTCCGTATTTGCCCAAATACGACTTAGTAGTGTGTGTAATATCTCAAATCTCTACTTTGTCCTGATAACCTTCAACTTCTTCGGTGAATGCTACATAGGCGAATGCGGTTAGAGCTAGCTATAGGAATTAAGGGTGGGTTATTGGCATCATACGTAAAAGTTAGAAGCATATGCTTTAGGCTTGAACCCTCTTTCGTTTGGTTCCTGAACAAACCATTCATAACCTGAAACCACCGGTGATATTAACAACTGGGTAGTTGATAAAATCGAAACATAACATACCTTGCTTCTCTGCAAAATGAATTGCGTCCTCCTTGGTTTTGAAGAAGATGTGAGTGCCTTGCATATAATCACCGCTAGACTGCCAGCCCATCAGGCTGTTCTCCCATCTGTGACCTGCGTGGAAGTCAACCATATGTATACGAATTCATAAGCATTCGGCGGGATTTACCCTTCCCCAAAACATCCCAATCCATTCTCCACTGCCTTCCATTCCAGTTTCCGGATTGGGTGGCGGGTTTCGCTGGTTTGAAAATCCTTACTGTCCTTGATTTAAGATCAATAGGGGCGCCCGAAAAGGCACCTACATCAAGAGGTTCGTCTGGCCCACGGACTTCGGAGGGGACTGGCATAGGGGAGTAGGCGCTATAGTTGGTATATAATCAACGCGCAAATTCGTGACCAAAGCAGGAATTACTCGAATATACCTCGTTCCATGGTCAGGGACAAGATGGATATCTCCCTCTGAGGTACCTGCACCGTTGGTGGGGGAGTTTGGCTGTGTAACCACGCCTTTCAACTCGGTGGACTTGTAACGAACGAAGTTGGAAGGGTTTCTGGTAGGCGCTACAAGCATAGCAGGCCTGCGAGTAAGAATAGCCCATGATGCTCTGAAGGACGACATTGTTGAGCTGTGGGTTCAGTATTTAGACAGGTTATGGGGTGGTGGTGGGGAGCTGGGGATTAATATTGGGCGGCGATTAAACCCTTGAAGATTAAGGTCGGGCGGGCTCGTTAGTCAGCAAGCGGCCATCACCACCATCGGTTCCGTTTCTTCTTCGGAACCATCGAAAGTACCGAAACAACTCCATCCCAAACCAAATTCTGTCCTACAGATTTTCTCCGCCCCCCTACTTATTCAATCTTGTCGCGATGTCGATTGTCTTCCGCCGCTCCATTTCCACTCTCATCCCTCCGAAGGTCGCTTCGCCATCTGTAAGTTTTACCCCACTCCCGCCGGTCTCGGACATATGGCTAACGCTTTGAGCATTGTAGGGTGTAAGTAATTCGCTCTCTTCAAAAACATCAAATATATCTACACCTTTCGGCTTCCAATATTCTACCCTTTTAATTATTGCTAGCCAATATCTCCCCTGAAATGCCGGCAATTGACCCAAAGCATTTAGATCGGCGCCGCGAAGGATGCCTCCAGAATGGCCCGCGTTGTTGATTTCTACGGAAAACTTCCTAGAGGTATGTTGGAACATTTGGTAGACGCCATTGTTAGGGAACGCTGATTGATGTGTTCGTGTAGGTCCTGCACCGGAAGTCAAGGCTACTGGTTTGATCGGAAGATACCAGGCCAAGTACTTCGGAAAGGAGACCAGCGCGGCTCGTATGCCTCTCTCATACACCTAGAATTCTGTATTATATTAGGGAGTGACTGACGAATCGTTATTTAATTATTATTATAGCCCTCGCTCACCTTATCGGTGTTCTCATTGCGGTATGTCCACCTGACTGGCCCGATTGAAATGCTTATATACTGATTTCTGGGGTACTGCAGATTGGTTACGCTCAAAACTACTACTTCCATCTCCGTACGACTACAACCCCAATTTTTTTTTCTTGATAGGATTATGACTTTTGCTAACTGGCCAATTTCAGGTCACCACAAGAACAATGCTCACTAAGCGCCTTGGCCCATGACGTGGGTAAATGATTGTGAAGGATAGTTTTTAGATGGTTGGAGACTATTGCCCTGTAGTGTAAACCCGCATTGATTCTCAAGTGATATATTATTTTAGACCAAGCTCAGTTACTTTTTTTTTTTTTTAGTACTTCTAGCCTGGTACTACTCCTGCTGGAACATATGATAGTGTAAATTCCATTTCTCGATAGCTCCAAGTAACATTAGTTGCCTAGGTCTTTTTGTAACCCGTTTGGCCTCCTATGAATCCTTGTTGCTGGTATTGTTTCTTTGGTCAGGCATACCACACTCCATGATCAACACTTGCGTGTAACATCCCATAACCCACGGTATACCTGGAAGGCCTTAAACCCTTGAGGAATGCCAATTGTAGATATAATCATTTATTCATGATAATTGACTGGGGTGTCTTGGCGGTGTACACGTTGGGTAGAGCAGGTGCAAACAACAATGCAGTACCGTACTTTTACGTACATAGAAAGTTCGTTCAGCTGTTCGCCTCCAGGCATCTCGCCCCACCACAACCACATCCCTCCTCTCCGCCGCTTCTCGAACCCTGGTGGAATAAACAGACGAAAAGAAAAAGCAAGCATTCCTGCGCCTCTTTTCTCTACATACCTCTCCTTCTCTTCCTGTTTACTTCCTCCCCACCACACCCCCCCGCCTCTCCACACTTCAAGGTTAGTACTTGGGCTTCTCTAGCGAAATTAACTTGGTTGCTATCACTCCTCTTCTGCATACACACTGCAACCTTCTCAACCAGTGCTTTCTTATAACTTCTTTCGCGCTTTTAGTGTCTTCACCGTTTTGAAAGCGCCGAATAGCACTGGTGATCACGCCTGAATTTTTTGAATAGGTTAGGATTTCTAAATAATACTCCTGCAATAGAACTTGCCATCACTGAGTTGCTGCATATCGCCCCACTACCTACCTACCCTTACACTTTCACACTATTTTGGTCCATCACGGGCATCAGATCCCCCCCACCTCCCACTACTCCTTGTCATATTCCCATCTATCCAGGAAATAATTCTAACCAGAGCTTCTGCGCCGTTCCTGGCCTAAAGTTGAAGGGGCAGAAACACAACTTGTTATGGCAGATTCGCGTATCATCGGAAATGTGGTACAACCTCTAGCGCGGTCGGTTGTCGAGCCCTCGACGACCGGCGTTGATGCAAACAATTCCATTAACCAGCTCACCGACTCCGGCGAGTCTACTACAAACCTTGTACCGATTTTCCCACAGCAAAATGCACCTCAAAACGATCAAGATAACAAAGAGAATAGTCATACACTATCTCAAACGCAAAAAGAGCCAGAAGGAAATACATCTGTGAGTTTTGAATCTCTAACGTCTACCAGCTTGAATCTGACCTGCTGATATGTCTAATTTGTATAGGGCCTTATGAACAGTAAATATGCAGGAACAAAGGATACAGACACAGACAGCGCAGGAACCTCTAGGCCCGGGAGCATTTCACCAACTAAAATGGATTCCATCAAACCCAAATCAACAATTAGGAAGACAACTTTTAAGTCGGTTTCTGTAAACAAGGTGTTTTTGAAGGATTCGGTCCCCACTGCAGGACCTGTGTCTAATGCTCTTGGTTCCACAACATCCAAAGGTATGAACCCTTGCATATGATATGATTTTTTTTTTTTTTTTTTTACAATTGTACCTAAGTTTTGTTTGTAGCATCAACGGCTTTTTCCGTTCCTCAGCCAGCTTCTCGCAATGTGTTAAGTGCCTCGAAATTAAAGTTTGTGAAGACTGGTGCATCCTCCCAGACTTCGAGGCCTGGAAGTACTGGACCTGCTGGTTCTGCTGGCTCAAAAAAAGGAGATCAAGCTCTGCCTGTGTGGAATAAAAACCTACGTAAATACTCCGATATATATAAAAGCATCTATTCCAGTTTTACTAATAGAAAATAATCAGCGACACCTCCGCCCCCTAAAAAGGATGTCACCGATGAAGAACTGAAATTAGAATTTGGGATTCATCTAGCGTCAAGGCTCGTTTCGGATAATGAATCTAAAGAAGCTAAATGGGCTGATATAGATGATGATGACGATGATTGGGTCCCGGAGGCTATTGCGTGGAACGATGGTATGAAGGTTACCATGGATGACACTACGGCGGCGACTACAGCGGCGAACACGGAGACAACGGTATCCCCACCTGCCACCCATGTCGAACCAGTGTGTCCAGAACCTGTCAAGGAGGTTGCGCCTCCGAAATCACCAGTGCCGCCTGTTCCGGTTGTTCCAGTTGCTCAAATGAAGGAGGAATCAAGACCCAAAACTCTTATTACTGAAAAGCCTTCTTCGAAACCCACCGAGACAACTTCTACTCACCCTGTCCGGGCTTCTCCTTGGGCGAAAATACCTCCCCCAAATGCGGGTCCCCCAATTGCTTCAAATCATAATCTTCGAAACAACGATTTCCCCCCTCCCCCCCCTCCCCGTCATGAGTTAGGCGTGGAATCGTCAGCACAGCATACTACAAATTCCTTTTCTGGAATGAAAGAAGTCTCGGCAGAGGTTTTCGACCGGTCATGGCGCGATAGGCCAGTCAACCATAGTGCACGTGAGCGTGAGTTATTCAATTCTGAGACTGGACAGTTAGAGCCAGTTAGAGAAGCTCGTAACGGAGGGGCGAGGCAGAATCGCAACGATCCCCCGATGCACAAGCATTCTGTTCTTCAACGTCCTTCCGGTCCGGCTGAACCATCTGCAGCATTTCAGCAATCGCGCAGCAGTATGAGTTTCCATCGGCCTGAAGATTATGGGCGTAGAAGAGCGTCCTCGAATGTAAGCGGAGGTAGTGGTAGCACTGGCGGTAGGAGACCATCTTTCTCTACCGGTAGGTTTAGCTCAGATCAGCCGCCCACGCCGGATGATGCTAGATTTCCAGGTCAAGATCTCAGGCGTGGTTCGTTTGGCTACAGCAACCCGTTTGATAACGAAGGTCCTCGTGGAAACCACACTCAATCGGGTCCATACAGCCCAAAATTTCAACACCCGTCACCGAGGATGGCAGTTAATTCCCCGGTAATGAACCATGTAAGACCCTCAGTTGCACCAAATGTTCAGCAGATTCAGCCTTCAACCATTCCCCCAGCGCCTGTTGTAGATCCCAATTATGAGGACCCCGTTATCGCACAAGAGCGGATTATGAAGGAATCTAGCCAACTGGCAAGGAAACGTAGGCAAGAAGAAGAGGCTAAGGAGGAGGCTGCAAAACAAGAGAGACTGAAGATCAAACTTGAGGCATTGGAAAAACAAGCAAAGCTTCGGGAGGAGGAGGAGGCTGCCAAGCAAAAGGCTATTCAGGACAAACGTGAAGCCGAGGAGAAAGCAGCTGAGGAATTAAGACTCGCCGAAGAAAAGGCTGCAGCAGAGAAGAAAGCCACGGATGAGAAAGCTGCCGCTGAAATAAAGGCACAAGAAGAGGCTTTGGCAAAGAAAGAGTCCGAGGAAAGATTGGCATCAGAAAGGGAACGTCCTCGACAAGGACAATTTCCAGATCGCTCAGCTAGGGAGCCGGCGGCATCTTTTATACGTAGTCGGTCTCCTGGCAATACATCAGGAATTCCGACAGGGCCTCAAATGCAGGGGAGAAGACCGGCGGGGCACATGCAAACACAAAGATCACCTACGAAGAATTTTGCGGTTCTTGGAAATCGTGAATCAAGGGAGCAGCCCTGGAAAAGTGTTTCTTCTGGGTCCGATCGATATACTGGTCAATGGGGAAGTTCGGGAAGTAACGGCCAAGCCCAAAATCCTACTGACGGTAATCCTTGGGCTCCTGTTGGCGAGAAACCGCGGTTTTCGGGGTTCAATGGCGTTGGAAATGGAACATTTGAAAACCGTTACTCAGGATTCTCTGCAAGATCAAATGCTTCACCCGCAATGCATGGTCAGCAGAATAGAGATGATGGACGGCAAGGTGGGCGGCCAAGCCGTCCTGGCCATATCTCCCCGGGATTTTCCCGCGGAACCCGGCCAAATGATAATATTTCTCAAGAAGATCGTTCGCAAGCCGTGAATCGCTGGAATACAGTTGCAAACACTCTTCAAGATGATGAAACTACAGAAAGGCGGAAGAATAGGGAAGAGAGATTGGCCCGGGAGGCTGAAGAAGCCGCCTCTGGGATAAAGAGGGAGCCTGCAGTTCACCCAAAGATTTCTGAAACCTGGAGGAAGGTTGAAATCAGTGATGGCCAAGGACAGGTTGATAGGAAGCTTGTCAGCGTCTCAAAGATAGTACGTGATGAAGCATCAGCGATTAATAAAGATTCGTTGACAAGACCACCTACGATCATTAATACAACGGCTCAATCAACTACAGGGAACTCACAGCTTCAGAGGAACAATATTCCAACTGGGCCTGCCGCAGGTCGACCAACGTCTCGTTTCTTCCCCGCCGCGGCGAATTTGGTGGCACAACACTTAGGAAATCCAAGTATCCCAATAGATGAGACGACGTCAAAGATAAACCCGCCAGGATCACCACCCCCTCCAATGTCTTCCGAACACCCTGTACATGGTGATGTCAATTCGCGTGTTGTACATCTCCCCCCTTCGCCTCAAGCTCAACATGCCAGTGGAAGAATCTCGCCGAGCTCTCGCCCCAATAACAATTTTCACAAAATGGATAACCCGAAATCACCACGTTACCTTCCGTCTTGTGACCAACTTGAACTTGTGCAGCGGAGAATTCTAGAGTCCATGGGAAAGTCTTCTTTGAAGCAGCAATCTTCACAGCAACAGTCAGCCCGCCCTCATCCGCAAGATAACAATGTCCTTGCATCCAAGGACTTCTCAGCTACAAAGCCTTCTTTCGAGGAAATCCGAGGGAACATTAATAAGCCCTCGGTTTCACTTCCCGGCAGTTCTCATGGCAGCAAAGATTCTAGCGAGAAGGGTGAGGCTTCGGCAGCAGGGGAAGCGCAAATGGATGGTGGATGTATTCTCTCGAAACCCGATGATGAAGAGTTCTTCCATGGATTGTTTGAGCGAGATTTCGGGTCTACGCCCACTGTCAAGATCCCACACAACCATACTCCCATCTATAACGGTAATCCTTCCAAGTCGCCAATGTCTCCATTGCAGAAGTCGCGCAAAACTCCTCGGCTTTGGGTGCAAGCCCCTCAGACTATCAACGCGTTTGACCCGTTTGATCCATCCGGTAAAGAATTCGTTAATGTAGAGGGGAAACGGTTTATTCCAGTTCACCTTCCGGGAGGGAAAGAATGTGAGGTTTTGTGTAAGGTTCCGGAGGGGAAACATCGCAAAAAGTTCCCAGGCTCCCGTAAAAGTTCTGGAAAGTTCAATAGTGGAAATGGTGGGCATATGGGTCGTGGTAGCAGCATGGGCAAAAGGGTGGCAGAACCAGTACAATAAAAGTGATGGGATATCCTATCACGCTGGATTGAGATTAGAAGAGATGATGGTGGGTATGATATGCTCGTGTCTGAGTACACTATGAAAGAGCAGAGTATTGGTTTCTTTTCTTGCTTGGTACCTGGATAGGGATGGGTGGGAGTTCTTTTTTCCTTTTTTTTCCTTTTGCTTACAGATCTTCTCTTTTATTTTCTTCCCTCTCTCTCCCACCTCTGTTAGGTCTTCTTCTAAACCTACTTCATTCTATATTCTATCTACTCTTCTACCCTTACGCTTTCGGTTTTGGAAGTGGACATTTTTACTCCTTTTGATTTTGGGGTGTGGGGGCTAGGTGCCATTACTTTCTATAACTACTACGGATTTATGGGTTTGCATATTATGTGTTATCTGCCAAGAGAATATGAAGAGTTTATTGCTAATGTTTTACTTTCATGTGGCTGGAGTAATGGAATGCTTATCGAGTGCTGCATGCTTTCTTCTGAACTCTTTTGATGGAAAGCAAGAACTGTTGTAGAATATTTGATTGGCATTATTATTCCATACCTTCCTCTCCTTCAGAGACATTGAAGATTTGCCCCGGCAGCAGATGCCACTGCGCCGAATGTGATAAAACATCATTCCTCCTAATAACTTTTGCACTAATCATAAAAGTCTACCTTCTCAAATCCATCCCGGACCTCGCCCCTTAATAATCAACTATACCAAGCGTTTCCTTTCAAGCTCTCTAGCTGGTATCCCTCGCGATCTTATTCAGCTCCCACTCTCTAGTCAGTTTTTGAGACAGCATCTGAAGATCTCCGATAAGTCCTTGACAGGCCGATAATAGAGCTTCCTTCGGACTTGTTTCACCGTCTGTCTGTATCCGCAGTTCGAATTTTGGGAATAGCGGATGGGGAGTCTTGTAGGCAGAGAAAATTACGTGTTCGTTCTGAAGAAGTGTTGCACGGAGCAGATTGCCGAGAGTGTGGTCCTCTTTGTTGAATGTGAAAATTGCAGCATTGGGTTGGCGCGTGTCAGGTTCCATTGTAACTTTGGCCTCTCCATCAGCAAGGAGGAACAGCTCGAATCTAGATTGTGTTAGAAATGAAAGGTATAGGAGGGTCTGTGTCGAGACGAGTGATTTTTTAGAAGGGTTCTGACCTATCTGGGGCGTTCATGACGAATTAATTATATTGAATGACTGTAATAAAAGCTGTAAGAAGAGTAGACGAGGGGGAATGAATGGTCTCAAGATTGACGAGATGTTGTCAACTGGCCAATGATAAAATCTTCTTGGCGGTAACCGATTGACCTGATGTTCAGCCTCAAGGTTAGATCGGTTCTAAGTTTAGTATTTCTAGCCTCTTAAACATGCCATGCTCAGTCAGCTTTAACTTGGCCTTACTTTATGTAGTGTTATGTTACACAATAGGATATGTAGTCTAGAAGTCAATTCAGCTTCAAAGCCTGGGGCCGTGTCGGAGCCGATCAGATCTTTGGGTGAGCACTTAGCAACGGTTGCGTCACTGTTGCAGCTTCTATTTCCTTGTTGTTGATACACGGTATGTGCATAGCTTCATTCTAAGGAGTATTTGTATCCTGTGTCCCCCCCTCTTCACAAAGCTGTATAAGTGGGGGATATATCTGTTCATACCTAGCTCTTCCCTGTATTTTTGCCTGGTAATATACACATCTCCATCTGTAACCATTCTCGGGGACTTTATCTTCTAAATTTCTGTCTGGCTTCGTTCTTTATACTTCTTTCCAGGGGAATTCAACATGCTGAGACTGCGCACTCTCTCGGAACTTCGCTGCTCTCCTCGTGTACGAACGAACAGCTTCCGTGGTCTCCAGTCACTAGCTTCTTCAACTCGTCAAAATACCTCACCACTTTTCTCTGCGGGTTTCAGGCCCCAATTGAAACCCCCGTTATCAACAGCTAAACACCCGCAATCGAGAATCATAGCTACCTCGGCTTCAAATAATCCCATTCCACCCCAGCGCAGTAAACTCGCAAGATTCGTCATTAAGACATGCGCATACACGGGCTTTGCAAGCCTCGCGGTAACGGGACTTATAGTGGCTTTCTTCGTCTACGATGCCAGCACATATAAAGACCAGTCAGAGACGTACGACCTCAGTGTATCGGAACTAGCATTGAACCCAAGGAAGGGTGGACCAAAGAATTTACCGATTGCAGAAATATTGGTGGGTTATATTCGCCCGAGTTCACTCGCATGCAGTTGCCGGTTCAGTATTTGACCAAATCGCTAACTTTGTTTTGGTATGGCAGCTTGATGATGAAGATGGCGCCGAAATGCAAAAACAGAAAGATAAACCTAAGCTTGTAGTTCTTGGCTGTGGTTGGGGTTCGGTAGCTCTGCTTAAGAACATTAATCCGGACAACTACCATATTACCGTTGTCTCGCCGAGTAATTATTTCCTCTACACACCTCTCCTCCCCAGTGCTACTGTGGGGACACTGGAAGTACGTTCACTAGTAGAACCAATAAGAAGAATTACAAGTAGGATTCGGGGCCACTTCCTCAAAGCCAAGGCAGAATCTGTCGACTTTTCGGAGAAACTTGTGGAGGTATCACAGACGCTACCAGATGGGGAGGAGAGGAGGTTCTATTTGCCATATGATAAGCTAGTGATTGGTGTTGGTAAATTCATCCATCCCGAGAACAATGAGTGATATGATTTGATATAACTAATACATGTGAAGGATCACAAACAAGAACTCATGGAGTCGAAGGCCTTGAGCATGTTGAATATCTTAAAGATATTAACGATGCTAGAAAGATCAGGAGTAGGGTTATCGAGTGCTTTGAGAGAGCATGCCTTCCCAGCACTACGGACGAGGAGCGAAGGAATCTGCTATCCTTTGTGGTCTGTGGGGGCGGACCAACTGGTGTTGAGTTCGCTGCAGAGCTGTTTGATATGCTCAACGAAGACCTTACACTAATGGTAAAATAATTTTTAAGTTTTCATCTATATGTCAAGAACGATATTAACCGGAAACTCTAGTATCCTAAAATTCTTAGGAATGAAGTCTCTGTTCACGTTGTTCAATCGCGCTCCCATATACTCAACACCTACGATGAAGCTCTCTCTCGTTACGCAGAGGTAATTGATGTATACAGGCCCCCAGTCAGAATCGCATCTAATCCGTATTGCAGGAACGTTTTGCCCGTGACCAAGTAGACGTCCTCACCAATGCCCGCGTTTCCAAGATTGAAAAAGATAAAGTAATATTTACACAGCGCGATCCCAAAACCAACAAAATCGTAACAAAGTCACTCCCGTTTGGAATGTGTCTCTGGTCTACTGGCGTTGCCCAAACAGACTTCGCCGAACATATCGCATCGCAGATTGAAGCACAGAAAAACAAACACGCCCTCGAGACAGACAGTCATCTCCGCCTACTTGGGACTCCATTGGGGGATGTTTACGCGATTGGCGATTGTAGTACAGTTCAAAACAATATTGCAGCTCATCTTACAGACTTTTTGAAACAAATTGCATGGGAGCGTGGAAAGGATCCAGAAAAAATGGATTTGGACTTTGGAATGTGGAGAAGTGTGGCAACGAGGGTGAGAAAGAAGTTTCCACAGGCGACAGATCATTTAAGGAGATTGGACAGGCTATTTGAGGAGTATGATAAAGATAAGAGTGGAACTCTTGATTTCCACGAGCTGAAGGAACTATTGCAACAAATTGATAGTAAACTTACTTCACTACCAGCTACAGCACAAAGAGCACATCAACAAGGGTACTACATATTTCTTTTCCCTCTCTCTCCTCTTCCTCCGCACACATTTCACTAATAAAATGTTAGACAATATCTCGCCCGAAAGTTCAATAAATTTGCCCAGGCTGCTCCTGGGCTAGAATTAAACAATATTATTAACGGAGATTTGGATGAAACCACATACAAGGGTTTTGAATACAAGCATCTAGGAAACCTTGCTTATATTGGAAACGCAGCTGTGTTTGATCTTAACGGATGGAGCATTGGAGGTGGGCTTATCTTTGTTTACCTCTGGAGGTCTGTATATTTTGCACAGAGTGTGAGCTTTAGAACCAGAGTTTTGCTAGCTATGGATTGGGGGAAGAGGGCACTGTTCGGGAGAGGTGAGCTCGATTTCGTTCTTGTATTTCTAGAGACTGGCACTAACCATGAAACAGATTTGATGAATTTCTAAACAAGCGACTTCTCTTGAAGGATGTAAACTTATTTTATGATGGTAGCGGGAGTTGGTAGATGGTGATATAATTATAGTGGGAGATTATTTCGGGAAGGCGCAACATTCTTGGCATCTATATTAATCATTGGCTATCAGCGTTATCGGCTTCCTGCTCTCTGCTCTTGCAGGGTATTGTTATAGGGGTGCCTCAATTTCGTAGATACAGCATCACAATCAGTAATAATAAGGAAGAAGAGAAAATACCTCGTATGTTTTCAAGTAGAATAAAATAGTTAATATTTAATCCATTAACACAGGGACCGGTCTATCATTTGGCTGAAGGGCAAAGGCCCTCGGCAGCGGTTCTCATATTACAATGGTATTTTCTTTTCTCTTTCCCCAATGGTTCTTTCCCCCTCAGTTTTGAGAATAGCTCTCCCGCTGTTATGGCACACACCACTTCATTTTTCTTTTCTTTTTTTCAGTTTTCATTAGAACAAGGCCTTCCACCGCCATAGTCTCCTTCAGGCATGTCTTTCTTTAAGACACTCTAAAGACCTTCTTCCACTGCCAAATTTCATTTCCGAATGCTTCATACTACATGCTGCAGTCTTGAGTTCATGGCCCTCCCGCCGTTGTTACATCGACCTTAGAATGTGTATTTCTCAATGAAACCGAAATCACGCCGCGGTATCATATCCAATTTTGATATAACTACGTAGTTACGTCGTAGTGATATTAGAAGCGGTAATATTGTCATAGCCTAAGGGCTGCATACAATTAATGAATTAAACAAAGAAAAGAAAAAATATTAGAAGCGGTAGGTTTAAAGGGGAGTTGTATCCTATGAATCTATAAACATTTCGCGTAGCAGTCAGTGTAAGGGTTTAATGTTGTGGGGTGTGGTGTAGCGGAATAAAGTTATGACGGTTGTTGGTGGTTGGTGATAGGAATGGGAATGGAGCACTCGAATAGGGCCAAACAACACGTTTCTGAGTTGCTTTAAGATAGAGAAACCTCCTGCCATGTTTGTATTCATGTATCACACCGCCGTCTACGTCTCCGCAGCCCCCGGGGGGGCCATGGTAGTTGATGGCGGCGGTGTTGGTGTTGGCTGTGAGCACTATATGAGCCGACTCTCGTGATAGAGATATATGCTGGCCAGAACAATAGTCTCGGCGCATGTACCGTTTAACTTCCTCGACTGGATCAATTGTAAGACACAATTTTTTGCCTCCCCCACCCTCATAACGGGCGAGAGCTAGCTATATATGTCATCTGTAGTTCGGAGGAACGGTCGACTTCATAAGTAGCACCAGACTTAAGGCTGCTGATTTTGTGAGGGACAATGGGTGGTAAGAAGCAGAACAAAGCTATCCAAACCAGCCATATCCCCGATACAACCCTCCCAACCCCTATTCTAGAAATAGTGAGATTACTCCCCCTCTCTTGTGCCCGCCGGGGGCGGGTGTCAGTATCATGAGGCAGTGACAAGATCGTTTCTGCCTCAAGGCATCCAGTGGAGCTAGAGTCTTGGCATAGATAATTTCGGTCATGTTATCATTACCCCTGCTTACTAACTAAACTTTAGTGGTCATTGGAAAGCATTAAGATCTACCCTGTGCAGTTTTCTACTTGAGAGAAACAAAATGAGGACCTTGAAGAGAGGCGGCAAGTTATTTTTCTTTGTTAATTACATGTGAAATAGGGAATCATATTCATAGGTATAATAATATTAAATCCCGGATCTCTTCTAAGCAATATTAATATATTCCTAACCCCTACACAAAAGAAATGAAAGCAAAGCACCGGAGAGGACAGAAATATAACCCCCATTAAAATCAAGTAACACCCCCCAAAGCTACCCCCCCCCCCCCTTACTCCAGCTACTCCAACTCCTCCACAAACCGACACCACCTCCCCAACACCCCCTTCACCACCACCGTCCTTCTGCCCCCGACCCCACCCCTCAACACCGGCACCTCCGCCTCCATCCACGACACCTCACCCCCTCCCACATCCTCCTGTACATACCCCTCCCCCAGCACCAAAAAGCGCCCCGACTCTGCCGCCGCGTCCACAGCCAGTGATAACGTGTTTGCGATGCCCTCGCCGCTGAATTCGCCCGTGGTGTGGTGTGCGCCGATGAGACCCCAGATGGCGAGGAGGGGTTGGTTGCTGGTGGGGTCGAGGTCGAGGGAGGTAGGAGAGTATTGAAGGAGTGTGAGGAAGGTGCGGAGTGTTTTGAGGTCGCGGAGGTAGAGGAGCTCGATGTGTTCAGCGGCGGAGAGGATGTCGAGTGTTGGGGTGGGGTAGGTGGTGTATTCTTCTTCTTCGGATTGTTGGGATTGTGGGCTCTTGGTGGGTATTGGGAGACGCTTGGCTGTTGGGGAGGTTATCATGCTGTTCCTAGATACCGCTTGGGAGCTCTGGTAGGGCTGAGATACTGGCAGCTTGTCTCCTGGTGTGGTGAGCGGTGAGACCTCGTGTGGTTGTGGAGGTATGGGGGAGCTGGGTTCCCGGATTTGTAGAAGAATCTTCCTGCGGGTATTTGGAGTTTCAGGGATGGATATATTGGCTTCTTCTGTAGCTCGGGATTTATCTCCGTTTCCTTTTGTAGCCTCATTTCGAGCCCCTGTTTCTTTATGTGATTCTTTTCTGCCAGCTGGGTGGTTGTCTAGGGTTCCTTGGGGTTTACCAATAGGGCTTTGAGACCCTTCTTGGCCTTTGGATGCTACGACACTCTCACCGGTCATAAACAGCTCCTCGTCATCCTCTTCCGGGGGCGGCGAGCTCAGTGGTGAGCTTGAAGGTAAAGCAGGGGGTAGCTGTACTGGCGATACAGCTTCCTCTGCTTCTGGCAGAGCGGGTGGGGAGCTATGTTCGGGGGTTTTCGTCTCAGTGACTTTTGATATCAGTGATTTCTGGTCATTGGCAGACTGCAACTCCTGGTCAAGTCCCGTGGCCTCGTAATTAAGCTCCTCTACTTGTACTATATCCTCTGCCTCCCCTAACTCTGGAGTTTGTGACTGGGTCATCTGGTGCTGCCCCGAGCCCGGCGGCTCACCCGGCAACCTCTGCTCACTCCCATCACTCTCGCTCCAAGGCATCTCAAGTTCCTCCTCTCCGCTCAGTGGAATATATTCCCGATCGTCATCCATCATCTCGAAAACGCCATCCTCGTCCTCGATGCCCACGAAGATCAGATACGTCTTCTCCTGGTCCTTTAGAGGCAGCTGCACACCGCCGCCGCCGCCGCCGCCGCCGGCTCGGTGGTGCTCGATGATGGAGGAGATGAATTCGCCCGGGTCTCTGCACTGGATGGCGAGTGGCTGGGTGGTGGCCATTGTTGCTTGTTTGGCTTGCTAAATAGGTTGTTGGTTTATTGGGTGGTGAGTGGTGGGTTTGTGGGTATGCTCATTGGGGGACGGGTAGCTCCGTCGTGGGTCGCTTATCGATAAAGAATCTCTGGGGTGCAGTTAGGTGCCTGATGACATAATGCCCGGGCCAGGGACAGGAACCTTTTCTGACGGAACTGGCAGGGGTTGTGACTGGCTGCATGTGGGGCTCGGGAGGTCTTGGGCGGCATTCTCGGAATATGTCCCACGCTGAAAAAGTAGAGCTATATCCTTGCACATAACGTTTGCTAAACGGCAAGGCACTGGGCCTCTGCGTTATTTATGTGTATTTTCATTGTGTTGGAAAAATTTCCAGCGGGCAGCTTGGGTTGTGGTTGAGATGCGTGCGCGCGGGCCGGGCCTTTCCTTATGGTGCTCTGGGGGCGGGTCGGGCCGGACCTCTTGGAACCCGACGCCAGGCCTGGTTGAATTAAGGTTCTTAAGCCGGCCGGCTCAATAGATACTTTATACAAATTTATAACTCGACTAAAGTGTGGGATTTCCGTTTTGTATCGTTGCTCGACAAATTTTAAAATCTTTGCGGAAAAATGGCCCAGTTGGTTTTATTTACTTACTGGGCTTTGGGGGGGGAGGGGGGGGGGGTTCAAGATGTAGAACAGGTCTGAGGAAGTGGGTGTAAAACACGGGCATACAATGCTGAATATCAGGATAGCTTCATGCATAACCCCCGAACCACTCGTTACATCCAGGACCAATACATCGTGGCACTGACATGACTCAAGGAACGCCCACCCCCCACCCCCCACGTCCATACAAACCACTGTCCACATATAAGAAAGCTGTAATAGAGGGGCCCACTACTAGAGCCAAATGCACAAACCACCACAACGCACCAACCCACGATGCCAACCAAGTCCGTATCATCCACTTTTATTCGGGACCGGGTAATCTTAATATACCATATTACAAACGCCCGCACAGCGGGGGGGCCTTTACACACCAGCTTGTGCAATTTCTCTGCTGCGGCTCTAAGTATCACGATGTGATGCCATTTGCTGCATGTAGCAAGGGCAGAGGCCCCGAGTGGACGTCTACGATGTGTGTGTGTGTGCTGGATATCTGGCCGGCCGTATGCGGTAGTGGATCGATGGGTGACTACGGCTGATAAAGCTTCGATCCGCCCACTCGCGGGCGTAACATTCCATTTTAAGATGTAGTGATCACCTATACCCCTTCTACGCTACACTATGGGTGCTAGGCAGACTAGTAACTGGCCAGTTAGATGTGAAATACCGAGTGATTACTGATGATCCATCTCAGTCCCCTCCCTTCACGCCCTGCCCTACAGCCCGCTTACTTTATCACACATATACCTTACAAATGGAAAGTGTTTACTGTGATGTCGAGCGGTGCCTACAGCTGGCTTTCTCAAGCGCTGATTCCAAGTTACCGAGGAACGCCAAGCCACGAGTGACGATACATGATCCGCAATACAATCAATAGCAGTGAATTATCTTTCCTCCCCGGGCATCAATCAGTGGTTAATAGACAAAGCTCTGGTCGAGTACATGCTCCATTCCATCTCTCTGGATAAGAAACGGAATGGACGCCAACAACAACAGACGAAAAGGTAAGTCATAGTTTGGCATTGTTTCTCTCTTTAACCCGTATATCTCGCCTCCCCACTCCCGGAAGGAAACAAGAAGACGAGAGAAGAGGGAAGGCGGGAGAAGATAGTAATAAGCTTAAGTGTAGATAAAAACAATCCCTATGCCTAGCAATCAGAAAGAAGAAAAGGAAAGAAAAGAATAGAAAATCTACAAAAGAAAGAAGAAAAAAGAAAGAAAAAAGGAGCACAGAAAAAAAATCTAATTCTCCACAAAATCATCCTCCTCCCTCACGCCCCCATCCCCCAACTCCAACAACAGCTCCCTCCCCGCCTTCCCTCCCACACTCCTCCTCTTCCCCACCTCCAACTCCAACACCTCCTCCTCCACCTCCACCTCCCCCCCCTCGCCCTCCCCCTCCCCGCCCAAATCCACCAACACCCCCCCATACCCACTCCCCTTCTTCACGCCCTCAATAAACGCCCTCACCCCCGCAAACCCCGTCCCCTCATACACCCCCACCGCCCCCTCCACACACGCCCTACTCACCGCCCCCCTCCCAGCAGCCAACCACTCCCCCGCCGCCAACATCCGCCACATCGCCGCCTTCCGCCGCCTTGCTCCCCACGCCCCCGTACCCACCCCCTCGCGAACACTATAGCACGCGCCCACGCGCTCCGTCACAAGCGCATGCCCGATCCCGGGGTTCGCGTGCATGTCCCGCGCGTGGATCGCCCACGTCGCCGCCTCGTCGGCCGCGCCGCCGCCGCGCAGCCGCAGCAGCTCGACGGACACGAGCAGCGCCCGCAGCGCGCAGTACGTGCTGCTGCAGCGGCTGCGGTACGAGTAGACGGCGAGGTCGAGGAGGGGGTAGATCTGGTCGGCGCGGACCTTGGTGGTTAGGCCCGTGCCCGTTAGGATTAGTGATATCGCGGTCATTTCCTGTCAATGATCAGTTCTGGGGATTCACTTTACGGGGGGGGGAGACGGACCTGGGCGCCGGCGTGGTATTTCCACGCTTTGTCGTTGCCAAAGTCGGTGCGGAGGAGGTCGTACACGCCGTTCGCGAGCCGCCAGTCGCGCAGCAGGAAGGCGTAGTCGGCGAGCTTGCGCATCTGCGCCTCGGGCGTGCTGGGGTGGTAGCTGGCGGACAAAGGGTCATAGTTGCTAGCACTAGTACTCGTCCTACTACCACTACTTCCAAAGTATCGTTTACTCATGCTCAAGAACCTTCCTGACAGCCCACGCCGTCTGGATGCGACTTGGTCGTTCCAGGTTGCGACGCACCGCTCCATGAACGGGATGATGGAGACCTGCGCCATCTCGCGGATCATGGTTGTGAGTGCGGCGGCATCGCTGTCGGGGAGACAGAGTGCCGGCTGGTCGTCTGAGTAGTCGGCGTCGGTCGAGGTGATGGAGGCGAGCTCTTCGGCGGCCGAGATCCAGTTGGGTTTGGGCACGATGACGGCGTCGTCGTCGGATATTACGGCGCGGCCGCCGGAGCGGAGGCGCAGGAGGTGGCAGTGGAGGCCGAAGTGCTTCTTCATTTGGTCAAAGAGGCTATTAGATCTACAGAGGTGAGGCAGTTAATACGACCGATTGCTTCTACAGAGAGACAGAGAGAGCTACTGACTTTTTGATATCATCGCGGTCCTCGTCGTGCACGAGCACATAGTACCGCAGATAGTCCGTATTCACATACGCCGGCAGCTGCACCCTACTCCCCGACGTATACAGATTCCTCAGCGTCTCTATCGGCGTCGTATTCCTCGACGAGATCGCAATGACACACGCCACGGGGTGTGAGAACGTCTCATGCGGGGCCACCGGCAGCGCACTCAACAGCCGTCTCAAATACAGCATATAGAACTCCCTGCCCGTGCCCGCCACCTCCCGATCCATATGCATCCCCACCAGCTCCTCCACCTCCTCAATGCTGCCGCCCACCCACACCTTCTTCTCCCCCTCACCCTCCCCCTTCCCCTCCCCGTCCCCGTCCGCTGCCGCTGCCGCTGCCGCCGCCGCCGCCGCCGCCTGCTGCAGCCTCGACAGCCCCGTCTCCCACTTCTCCCCGCTCGCCGCCACGTCCGCCAGCGCCACAAACCGCATCCCAAAGTCATCATAGCTGCTGCTGATCCCCTGGCTGTCGCGCACCGTCACGCGGCCCGAGATCTCCTCGCCATACGGCCGCAGCATGTCCTTAAAGTCGGCGAAGCCCTTCTCGCGCGCAAGCGCGTTCGTGTCATCGCTCACATGCACGGCCACGTGCGGCACGAACGCCCGCAGGATCAACGACTTTGCGTCGGCGTCGGCGGGCGCGCGGGTCGTGGGGTTGAAGAGGCTGTTGAGCGAGGAGACGGAGCTGTGGGCCGCGGAGGTGGACGTGCGGAGGTAGACGGAGGGCGGCTTGGGCAGGACGGAGGGGAGGGTGGGGCGGCGGGGGAGAGAGGGGAAGGCCGACGTCATGGTGGGGGGGGTCGGCCCGGTGGTGTTTGGTGCCCGCGGGGGCGGATGGTGGGGTGGACGCTGGTGTCTCAGCTGTGGTGTAGCTGGCTGGTATTGGAATTGGGAGGGGGTGTATGGGCTCCTGAGTGGTGAGATGCTGATTGGTGGTGCAGGTTGGTGGATATTACAGGTCCGTGAGAGTGCGGGGTGATGTCGAGTGGTTTTCGAGGATTCTGGCGATGGTGTTGGGGGGCGTCGTTGGTGTTTGATGGATTTCGTTGTTTCTGATCTGTGCAAAGTGCAATCAATGTTGGGAGCCGCAAGTCGACGACAGGGACACGAAAGCGGAACAGGAGTGGCGGTGCGGTGCTGTGCTGTGATGTAAGGGCCCACCAGCCACAGCAGATATCCTGGACTCGAGAGTGCGTTCTGGAGACGCTGGATCGTGGGAAAGCAAGAGAGAGAGAGAGTGGGGTGGGCGGGGTGCCTTCTTGCTGGTTCTATTGATAGCATTGAGTGTGTTATAGCGCCAAGAGCACAGCGTCACATCAGGTCACTCGGCCATTTCTGCACCTGAGCTCAAGCCCAATGGCAGCTTCTCAAGCTTACAGACCATCAAGTATTTATTAGACCCAGTGCAAATAGAGCTGACTAGCAAAGCGTCTCCCATCAATGGCGTATAAAACTGCCAAAATAAACATCTATGTAGCAAAAGAAACCCACAACTCCTAGAAAACCAATACTCCTACCTCGTAATATGTGCAGTACAACTCCGTATCACCCCGTATCACCCCACCCCACCACACCCACTACCCGCCCGCCCGCTCTAGGCAGTACTCGATATCGCACCCAACCCATCCACCTTCCCCCTCACATCCCCCGGCAGCGGCCACACCATCCACAGCGTCGACTCCTTCACAACCTCGTAGAACTCAACCGTCTTCTCGTCGTCGAGGTACTTGCAATTGAATTTCAGCCGGAAATAGTGTGTCGGGACCATCCCCTCCTTGTCCTGGATCTTTGTCTTGACCGTCTTGATGGAGTCGGTGGGATTGACGTCGAGGGTGATTGTTTTGCCGCAGTCTGTGTGACATTATGGGGGTTAGAATTCTGCGAAGGGGTGAGGGAGGGAGAGGAGGAGGAGCATACCCTTCTTGATGAAGATCTGGATCGTGAGGAATTTCATGGTGGCACTGGTCACTCACTGGTGGTAGCGGGTGCGATGCATGTAATGTAGCTCAAGAGCAAGAGCAGAGAAACGCGAGGAGAGGTTGTGGAACTGCCATGATGTAAGTCCAGTCACGAGAAAGTTTAAACCTGTCCATATACATTTCTACAAATAGAGTACACCATGTTCGCAAACGTGTTGAACCAGCTCGTGGAGAACAGATGGAACGAGTGATTCTGAGTGACTCGCTGTCTGTCTACATGCGAATTGAGGGCCCGCAGACAGACAGATGCGATCTTTTTCACGCGGAACTCGAGTTTTAAATGCAGAATACCGTCCTCTGCACACATGTACATAGTAGTCTGTATACTCGAGGGTTTCGTCGACGCAATTGGCATTCCGAAACAGAACGCCCGCTTGGCACTTTGACAAAAAGCTTATTTCTCACGCACCCTCCCGCACCCTCGCGCACCCTCACGCACCCTCACGCATCCAGGCAGGAAACACTCAACACGGGCATCCAACTAACCTTTCCGGCGGTTTCTAGAACACACATCCCGCCTCACCCACACCCACACCTGCACACAGCCAAGCCAAGCCAAGCCAAGCACCACTAGCGGCCATCCTCCCGAGAACCCACAAAACCGCAAACACAACAAAACCAGCTGCCCGCTCATCCGGCCGCAGAAAGCAGCCGAGTGACCTGCGGTGATGTCGGCCACCCCCGGTCTCCACCTCTAGACGCTTACGCGGCCGCCAAGATGCGTCCAAGCGGGAAAGGCTTGGAGACCCTGCTGCCGGCGCCCGGGAGTGGGCGGGAGTGGGCGTTGGAGCTGCTGCTGTCACCAAAGGGTCAGAGGGTTGCCAGGGGTGTGGGAATATCTACCAGTGCCAGCTTGAGATGTCACTCTTGGGAGGGACAATTGGTTTACTATGTTATATCGCATAGTGCCGAGAGACAGAGGGAAATGATTACTCTGCACTTGGGCAAGGCAGTGCAAGGTCTTGGTGGACCTCAAGAGCTACTTGCCCAATTAATGCATCTTGGCCCTCTCAGCGTTACTTTAACCTCCGTCCAGAAGGGTGCAATTGCCGGGATCTGTTACAGGGGGGTGGTGGGGGGGACTCGGGAGAAGTGTCTCTCCCCTATAAATCCCCGGTCATGTCTTAGCATGAATCTTTGAGTAGGTGCTACATATACTTGTGCGCCCCCCCTCCCCCCCCACCCCATCTTTACCTGGGACAGGCTTTATTTTTTTTTTTTAAAGATTCAAGTCACTCTTTTTCTCACATCTTTTTTATTATTATTATATTTTGCCTTTTTGCCCAAAATGGCTCGCCCACGAATAATAATACCCACAGTGCTCCTAGCAGTGCTGTGTCTCGGCCTCTACGGCTTCTTCGGTATGCTACATTCCACTCTTAACTCAGCGCATACCCCAAGCTAACAACCCCCCCTCCAGGCCGCAGCAAATCTCCCCACTCCCTCGAATCCCTCTACTCCCACCGCCACCCCACCGCAGCACCCACAACCCTCCGCACCACCTCCTTCAGCCCCTCCGACCAATCGCTCATCGCCCGCAAACCCCGCTATGCCATCACCTCGAGCGTCCAAACCGCCTCCTTCACCGCAATGGCCCTCCTCCTCGGCTACTCCATCCAAAAGCACAACGACCTGGCAGCCATGGACGCCGAGCTCGTGCTGCTGATCCGCGAAGACGCCGTCGACGGCGTGACGGCCGAGAACAAGACGCGCCTCGAGGCCGCCGGCTGGAAGATCCGCGTCGCCGAGGAGCTGACGTTCGACGGCGTCGACAACTCGGCCATCCGCTCGCACCACCGGCACAACCTCAACAAGCTGCATCTGTGGACGTGGACGGAGTATGAGAAGATCCTGTTTATCGATGCGGACGTGGTGTGCAAGGGGTCGCTGGCGGAGCTGTGGGCCATGCCGGGCGATTTTGCGGCCGCGCCGGATGTGTGGTGGGATGTCATTACGGATAGTAGGTTTAATTCGGGGGTCGTGGTGTTTAGGCCCGGCGTGGAGACGTTCAGTGATATGATAAAGAAGGTGTCGGATCCGGCGTATCATCAGCCGAATGATGCGGATCAGGCGTTTCTGAATGCGTATTATCGGTTTAGGTTCTTTGGGCTGCCGTATAAATATAATTTCAATCTGGTTATGGCATGTTCCTCCCCCTACGCTTTTGCTTTTGTGTATAGCAGGAGGTCTAACATTGTGTAGTATCAATTCCACCGCGAGGCGTGGGATATGCTGTGGGATGAGGCGGTTTTGATCCATTTTACGGTCAAGAAGCCGCGGTCGAGTCCGGACGAGCACTGCCATGAGGACTGCCAGGAGTGGGAGGTTCTTGAGGTTTGTTTCCTCCCCCACATGTATATCATTTCCCCGGGAGTCAATTGCTTACATTTATGGCAGTGGTACGGCCAATACTTCCGCGAGATGCGTGCATATTATGGCTGGGATAACGAGCTGCCAGACTATCAGTAAAGGGGGGGGGGGGGGGGGTCTTCTCTCGGGTCCAGGCGGCCCGATCGAGGAGAGGTGTGGAGGACTTTCTTTGTTAGAATCTTTTAACTCGACTTTTTTTTTTCCATGGTTCGTTATAGGGTATGGGTTTGTCTTTTTTATTTTAACTTGCCGGATGCCCGGTGTACAAATGCTCTTTACCGTAGAAATCTCTTTCCTTTCTTTTCTTTGTGTAGTTATACAGGTAGCTAGACGGAGCACTTACAAATGGGATTTATCATTTTCCTTTAATACGGTCTTCTTGGGGTCTGCATATATGCGTGCGGATGCAGAACTGGACCCTGCATGCAGGGTTGGCTCTAGAAGCACAAACCCCACAAGCCGAGAGGTATTGAGTCACAGAATAGATCTCTAAATATCTCTCTCTTTCTCAGTCTAGGTATCAGGAGTAGTTACCTCGAGTTGTTCGAGATATCACTCGTTCTCCAATCGATATCGGCTTACCAAACACCCCTGCCCGCCCAGCGCTTTTTTGCTTAATTGCGCCCAACACGTCGCGCCCGTCGCGTCCCCCCGACCCAGCACACCTCACCGTCACCACAACCACCACCAGCACTCCTCAGCACATCACACTCACCACCACGCAACAGAAGAAAAAAACCCCCCTTCAGCACCAACACAGACAGCATCACCATGGACCCCCGCCTGCCCCTCCCCACACTCACGCTGCCGCCCATCCCCGACCCCACCGACTGGGACGCCACACTCCTCCCCCTCCTGCACCCGCTCGACGCCGCGCTGCGCTGCCAGATCTGCAAAGACTTCTTCACGGCGCCCGTGCTCACAAACTGCCAGCACACGTTCTGCTCCGAGTGCATCCGCCGCGCGCTGCACGCCGACAGCGCGTGCCCGCTGTGCCGCGCGCCAGAGCAGGAGTACCGCCTGCGCAAGAACCAGGTCGTGGGCGACCTGGTGGATGCGTTTGTGGCGGCGAGGGGCGGCGTGCTGGAGCTGGCGAGGAGGGGGGTGCGGGGCGGGGAGGATGGCGGGGAGGATGAGGAGGGGTGGGGGGGAAGGAGGAGGAAGAGACGGTGTGTGCTGAGGGCGGAGCAGCAGGAGGAGGAGGAGGTGGGGGTAGGGGTGAAGGAGGAGGAGGAGGAGGAGGTTGTGGAGGTCCCGTCACCGGGTTTGTGTCTCCTGTTACAGCATTGGTAGAACCATAACCATACTGACTGACGGTTTGCGGAGCACCAGACGACGGCCTCGTCCCCTGCCCATCATGCAACAGGCGCCTCAAGCTCGAATCCGTCAACACGCACCTCGACGTCTGCCTCACCACCCCCAGCACCCTCACCTCCTCCTCCTCCAGCACCCCCGCCCCCACCACCGCCGCCCGCCGCCCCGCACCCCTCCCAAAGATAACCTACTCCCTCATGAAAGAGAAGGACCTGCGCACCAAGCTCACCGCGCTCGGCATCCCATCGACGGGCGGGCGCAAGGCGCTGCAGGAGCGCCACAGCGAGTGGGTGACCATCTGGAACGCCAACATTGACGCGAAGCGGCCGCGCAGCAAGGGCGAGCTTTTGGCGGACCTGGCGGCCTGGGAGCGCGCGAATGCACGCCCGAGTAATCAGATTGTGAAGGGGCGGTGGAGCGACGAGAGGTGGGGGGAGGAGCATAGGCCGCATTATAGGAGGCTGGTGGAGGAGGCAAGGATGAGGAGGGGGCAGGCGGCGCCGGTGAAGGCGGAGGTGGATGGTGAGGGTGAGGGGGAGAATGGGGGTGAAAGTAGTGGGAGTGGGGGGAATGGTGAGAATGGGGGAGGTGGGGTGTTGACGATGGTTGCGGTGGGGAGAGGGGAGGTGCCGGAGGTGTTTGGCAATGGGGTGGGGGATCGGGACGTTATGGGTCCGGATGCCCAGATTAATGGGAAGAGGAAGTACCAGGAGATAGATAGCACCGCCAGTAGCAGTAGCAGTAGCCATACCCCCAATGCCCCAGCAGTGACTGATGCGGTACAATAAGTACCTCAACTGATGTTTTATATCTCTTTTTCCTTATTTCTTTCCTTTCCTTTTCTTTTAATTGGCATCTTTTCTTTACTCTTGTTTTTTTTTTCACTTTCACTTTTTTCCCTCTCATGACAAATAAGGACTTTTTTTACTTGCGGTCCATTGGGAAGTACTTTAATCTCCAAAGAAAGAATAACTGTATATATATTACACTGATAGAGGAAAAGGAAGAAAAAGCAATGTGCGAAAAAAGAAAAGAAAAACGCAGGCACTGGAAGGAGTCAATGATCGTTTCTTCGTTATTTGGTTAGATGGGCGCTAGTGATAACCACCAATTGGCAAAAAGATCTTTAGAATCTATGATGCAGGAAGCGCAACCTTGATCTTTTCACCAACTGCCTCCCCCCCCATCGTGCCCACTGCGCCTTGGTCCTCCTCTTGCTCCTCTTCCTCCCCTTTCAGCGTCAACTTGCCCAGCTCCTCCATCACCTTCTTGCGCCTCTCCTTCTCCCTCGCCTCCTTCTCCATCTCCTTCCGCCTCTCCTCCTCCTCCAACAACTCCTCCATCTCCTCCTCCACCTCACCATCCTCCAGCCCCACCTCACCCAACACCCTCGTCACCTCCTCCACCTCATCCATCTGCTCCCTCAGCTCGCCCACCACCCCATCCACCGCCTCCACGCCCCCCGTCTCCCGATTCAGCGCCCGCAGCACCTTCGTGCTCCTCTTCAGCTGCGCCATCAACTCCACATTCCCCGTCGCCTGGTCGATCCTCGCCAGCACCTCCTCCAGCTGCCCCAGCGCGCCCACGCGCCGCTCCAGCGTGGCCTCGGCCAGCTTCTTGCTCTTCAGCGCGGCCACGGCCACAATGCGGTTCTTGTTCTGCAGCGCGGCGCGCGCCTTGTCCGTGCAGCCGCTGATCTGCGCGGCCAGGTGGTCGATCTGCGCGTGGAGGTTTGCGATCGTGGCCTTGAGCTCGGCGATGGTGGTGTCGGTGGGCGTGACGGGCGTGGGCTCCTCGTTCTCGTTCTTGAACTTGAGGGTTTCGCCGGAGAGGGTGGCGGCGCGCAGGTCGCGCGTGAGGAACTTGAGGAGGACCTTGAGGTCGCGGTCGGTGTAGGGGGTGTTGGTGAGTGGGTTGGGGTAGGTTTTGAGAAGGAGGGGGAGTGTGAAGAGGCGGTGGGTGCCGTTGGGGAGGAGGCTGATCTGCGTGAGGAGTTTCTGGGCAGATTCCTGTATTTTTGGGCCTTTGTCAGTATCGATATCCTCTCCTCCCTCCCAATTGCGCAGATAGCTAATGTCCATGCATATAACTACTACTCCTACTACTACCACCGCTACGAACTCACCTCAACATTCTTCAACACCACAAACTCCCCACTCCCCGCCGCACCCCCCTCCCTCCCCTTCAGCCCCGCCGTCTCCAACCCCCAGCTCAGCAGCCCCCACGGATTGATCCACGCGCGGTAATACACGCTCTCCACCTGGCGCATAAACACCCCCAGCGGGAACCACTCCCTCTTCTGGACGGCCTCGGCCACCACACACCCGATGCCCAGCGGGCGCCCCCACTCGCGGGTCGCCAGCGCGGCCACCAGCTCCTCGCCCGTGCGCAGCACAAGCGTGTCCGGCAGCACGCCGGCGCGCGCGGCGCCAGCCAGCGCGGACGTCCAGGCCGTGGTGTTGGCCGTGAAGCCGCTGGGGTTGTTGGTGCGCAGGTGCCGGAAGTCGGAGTAGAGGGAGGGCAGGCGGGCGGCGCGGAAGGACTCGTGCGTGAGGAGGTGGGTGAGGAGCGGGATCTGCGTGCTGGTGGTGGTACTCATGGCGTGTGATGTGTGGAGGTGTGGTGAGTGGTGAGCTTGGGTTTCCTTGTTTGAGTTGGGGTGAGCTGGCGGCGCGTTGCCTTGGTAACGGGGGTGCAGTGATCTACTGATGTGAATTGTATAATTTGTATTTAGGATGAGGAGCTAGACATCTGCTTGTACTTGCACCGGCGGGCGACAGACACCGCCTTCAGATCCAGAGCTCCGGGTGAATATTGAATTCAAAGCGTCGGATTGAAGACTTGGCGCCAAGGGGAACGTTATCAGTCCACATGTGCTGCTTGATCACTGGTTATCACTCGCCCGGCCCGGGAGCTGCGTCGGGGCGGATTTATTGCCCTGGAATATACCGGCGATGCCGAGAGGATTGTTAGTGATTAAGCTTCTGCCGGAGCCCGAATAGGACTTTGGAAGGGACGAACCACGTCGACTCAGCTGGAAACTACAAGGGGGTGCGAGTTGTATGCTATTGACTGCTGTATCGAGATAGGCAGCTAGCCTTGCATTGTTGGGAATCGCAGTAGCTGGAGTACGGCAGCTTGCATAGAGCAGCCAAATGGAAACTTAATCAAACCTACATGTACTAAGCAAAATACATGCATGGAAGCAATATACATACAGTGGAGGGAACAAAGGGAAAATAATGCTTACCAGAACTTGAACTGAGCAGAACTGAACATAGGCCATTCCTAGCTCCAGAGACTCCCGATACGGGATAATATTAACAGTGCGTATTATTATGCGTATTATTATGCGCATACAACTTAGGGAAAGGCATCAGCACGCCTCCCATAACTCGCAACTCCTCTCCTATAGACAGTATGGCTTCTTCTAGTCCGTGCCAAATACCCATAGAAATATGTGTGGCAACCGTACTCTGCATCGCAACCATATCAACTAGGCTATTATTCTACGCGGTACATAAATCGCTTCACAAACTATCACTCGTCGCGTATTATCACTCACCCTGCTTTGCCACAACACACATGTGCCAGTATGACGCCATCCAGCGCAACCGCTCGGCTATCTCGGGTCGCGAGGATCCAGCCGCCACAAAACGGCCCGAGAGTAGAGTAGATACATGGCTGGATCCTCAAGATCATCGGTGTAGAGCTGGATCCTCACTAGCATTTGTGTAACACGCAAAACAAGAAAAACTTAAGCGCTCTGGCTATGGACCTCAATAAATTTACGTCATAGAAATTGGATTGTATCCGAGCAAAAAATAAAGGCTCTGAAAAAAAACCTCAGTGCAGCGTTGAATTCCGGCATTCATGATCATAGTACATGTATGCCTTACAAAAACGATATCGATATCAATGCTATTACAGTGGTGTTGGTTGACCACGAAACAAAAAATACAGAGGGAAATAACGTTAAACCATGAGTCCGCTGTGGCGAGAATCGTATAAGGGATGAGGGGCCAAAAAAAAACTAACAATAAAAAACAGGGAAGGGGTAAGCATTTGGGGGCTGGACATGGGGAAATAATGTGGTGTTTTGCTAAGCGCTGCGCCTCGTAAAATATGAAAGAGAAAAACCAATGATGCCAAAGGATATCATGCCCATAAGAAAGAAGAAATAGTTTTTGGTATGCACAAGGAAAATGGGTGTCAAAAATGCGTAAATATAGAAGAGAGGTTTTTCAGACTTTGCCCTTCATACTTTAATTCATAAGGCCAAGGAAAGTAGGAATAGTGAAAAAGAACAGGGGCTTGGTAAAATCAATCGTATCGAGAATTTACTTTCTGCCCTTGGGCTTGTAGGTATCCGCATCGAATCCTAAATGCATACCAGGGTTAGGGTTTGTAACTAAGATAAAATAAATATAAACAAGGAGCGACAAACCGTAGATGGGCCTTCCGATCTGTTTGTAGACAAAAACCTAGTTAGTAAACCGGGAAATAACCATATAAAAACTACAGGTATGAGCAAACATACCCTCTTGAGAGCAAAAATGACCTAAAAAATAGTATTAGTTAAAAAATATCCCAAATTCATGTCAAGGGAGAATAGAAGATAGTTTATGTACATCTGTAACTGTGACGGTCTTGCGCGAAGAGTGTTCAAGATAGATCACACAGTCGTGGAGAATCTAAAAAGTGCACTTGTCAACTAATGCCCTGAATATTAAACCACACCCCCCAAAAAAAAATTCACATGGTGAATATTTATGCAGCAGTGCGCCTTGGCCAATGAAACGGGGAATTTTCCAATGATTATCCAGCGCAAACCACCACCACTTTTCCCCCTCATGAAGTCAAACCACTGCAGGGAGGGAGGATACATACGGTCTTCAGGTGGGTCACCAGGGCGTGCCTTGCCTCCTCGTAGATCTGGGCGGAAATACGCTTTACTCCTCCACGTCTGGCCAGACGACTATTTCCCCCCGCAAAGATGTCAGCAATCAACCAAGTAACCCGCATTACCCAAACCTCCATCACCCCCTCTCAAGACAGGAGGGCAGTCCGTAATAGTTAAACATACCGGATATCGGGCTTGGCTACTCAAACTATTAGCTCTCTGTCTCACCACAACCAATGACTCCCTTGCAGCAATGCTTCCCAACATTCCTGTCCCTAACAACGTGGATACGGAGGACCATACTGATTCCCCTGATAGTGTCCTTCATGACCTTCCTGTGTCTCTTTGCGAGCGCCTTTCCTAGGCCCTTTCCGCCGACTCCGGCTCTGCCTTTTACAAGTCCGCCTTTTCCAAGTCCTTGGCCGAGAGTGCTTCGTGCAGCCGCCGCGCTGCTGGAGGCCGCTGCATTGGGCCGGCGGGGAGTAGGTGGCATGGCTAGTGGTCGTTGTTGAGTTGTTATTGGTGTTGATTGTGGGTGATTTATGATGGTTGGCGAAGAGGGTCGCTGGTATTTACTATGTAGTGGATGGTGGCTGCCTGAGGAAACGCGTTGATAAGCTGGTGCAGTGCCACCAACGCGCGTTTCTAAGCGACTTACAACCGTTGCCATGTCTGTGCGACGTGTAACGTGTAACGCGTAAAGGACATTACAAATGCACTTAACCGCCCAAAGAATGTTGGTACATTCACCTCTCTCGATGATGGCATTAACTTGTATTAGGTGTGCCAAAATGACATGAGTAGAGTAAGTATGATAAAAAAAAGAACCCCATTTCTTCGCCCAACCCTTGACTATTATCTTTCCCTAGTACTTGCAGAAACAAACATATGGCAGCCAAAGATAAAACAGATATAGAAAAATTTAAAACGTCAAGGCATAATCATTATATTGAAGATCCAAATGTGCCGCGCCAGAACCTCTCCTCCAAAATATCATAGTTTTTAAGCTACAGTTCGGAGATGAAGGTTGCTTCGTAGAAGAGCTTTCCTTCCTCTTCAATGACCTCATCGCCAATCTTGATTTTCATGGTCGTTTTCTTGTGGTACTACAGTTGGACGACCGTTAGCTTCGATTCCGGCGTTTTTCTTCCCGGAGAACTTGACATACCTGGTACATGTACGGCTTTGTCCCTGCTACATTTCCAGCGATTTTCTTGATTATGGCTGGTACCTCCGCCATAATATCCACACGATCAATCTTCTTCCCCAACTCTGCCTCAAGTACAGCCTCAACTGCCTTCCCATCCTTTGTTGTGGCGTCCCATACAAACTTTACAGCTGTAGGTTCGGGCAATTCTACGTCATCTAGCTGCGAAGCTACGTGTTCACATTCACCCTTTGTTCCGGCAGCTACAAGCTCACCATCCTTGGAGAGACCAATGATGTTTACGGTTGTTGAGCCGTAGGAGGCGGGGGTGGTAAACTCCATCATGATAGCAGAATAGGTGGGGCCCTGGAAGTTGACAAAGTTCCACTTGGCAGCTGTACCAATCTTGTCAGTCCTTTCCGAGAGCACAGCATACAAGGCTTGCGAGGGGGTTTGGGGGGGGGGGGGGGTCATACCAGCGTGATGTGGCTTCATCCCTTGCAACGCCATAACATACATTGCTTTCCCTTTGAAATTAATCTTCTCATCTCCGACCTTGATAAACCCTTCCAACGTGTTTCTGGGCCAGAACACATGTCTAATGGCTCCCCACGGATTTGCTGGGTCTGTTCCGAAATTTGTGCGCCCATCCTTTCCAATCTTGAACCCGGGTGTAGTTTGAGTTACCACGAGATCGATGAAAATGGTCGGGTCGACGGCGCTCTTGATGGTGTAAGACTTTCCGTCCTCGCTCAGTATGACAGCAATGTTGTCGGCATAGAAGGAGTGCTTTGTATCATCAAAGTAGTCGGTGCTTATGAGAGGCTTGCTAGACCAAGTTATACGCCCATCTGGATGGAAGATTTTGGTGGACACCTGAGCAGTTACATGGAGGTTTCTATTGGTTATCAGCAAATGGCCGAAGCGGAGTGTGATGTGGATATATACTCACGCAACGTTAGAGTAGATGATCTGTACAAGCCCCATGTGCCCACTGTCAGCTTCCAGGTAGAAGGTCTGTGTCTCGGCGCTTGTTGTGTCGAGACCATGCCATCTCAGATCATCTCGAGTGACCTCGTAAGTGGGGTTTTCTGATTCCTGAAGAGCAACAGATTGGATGGCAGATGGACCATAGATTGGCTCAGCGGTACCGAGGGCTGCAGAAATGCTGGTTTGGGGAAGGGAATCAGCTGCTTGAAAGTGCAGAATAAGAAAGCTGATACAGATAGGAACTTACGATGCTTGTGCAGTACTTTTAACCCACGAAAACATATTGATTGTTGATGAGAAAGATTTTTATTAGAATTCTTACTGAAGCTGTTTATCGTACGAGAAAGAGATCGAATGCTGCAAGGTAATGGTCAGGAGTAAGGAAAGCGGGGGATATTTAACAAAGTCAAAAGAGATTGACGTAGATTGGTGGCGGTATGTATGCTGTATCGTACTGTAGGTAAATGCAAGCACGAGAAAAGAAACTTGCTTGCTTATGTATCTAAGAAGGACCCAGGCTTGAGGAAGGAAAGAAAGAAAGTTTGGCGACGGGCGGCGACTTCGGTGCCGTAGTTCGCTGTTCCTGCAGGCCAGAGGCAGGGTCACTTAACCCACCAGAAACACCTCTCGCTTCCGATGGCCCAGTTAAGCTTAATTGGGTCAAGCCAGGAGGGACATGGGTTCATCATGGTTGAAATCAAATCAAAATTCATGCTTTACAAAAAAAACCCTCGTGCCTACTCGTGTGATCCGTGGGCCGGGATCTCGAATTCCCGTTCACAGGCAATCACTCTCTGTGCTCTGTGTACACATACGGGATACGGTGTACCGTGTAACTACATAACTCACCAAATCTCCATTTCACCTCGGCCAATCCGGCTTCCTTTCGTTTCGCAGGTAACTTCCCAACAGATTATCAAATTTCTAAAAGATATCGGTACGTACGCCCACTGAGAAAGTCCGTGTGGTATTTAATACCTAAGTCAACCGGAAAGATCATGCCGTTATTCCGAGCTACGCAAATTGTTACTACAGCTACACTTTAGACTCTATGTACCCAGACATATAGGTAATCTACATAGGCATTCAATCCCCGAATTTAGACTACCGGTACCTTCCGAGGGGGAAATCAAGCATCATGCCACGCTCGGAAAGGGCTAGGGTTTAAACAAGCCAGAGAGGCTTTACTTCAAGTGCTGAGGGAATATTTAGGCGTTAAGCATTGAAAAAGGGACCATCTTGGGTGTATCCAGTACCTTGGTTTACCTGCCGCAACCCTGTACTCCGTGCAAGTGGTGGACCTGTGTGTGGTGTGGTGAGGGAAAAGACAAGCAGGAGATATTTAAAGTGGTGTAACTCAAGGACCAAAGGAAAGCCAAGCCAAACATGGGCCTACATATTAAGAGTGTAAGAGAGCTTTGCAAAATAGTAAAGAGTTGATCCTAATTTCCGGAACTCAGCTGTTAATGGAGATATAGAAAAAGCGTAACAGGTTACGCAATTCATTTATTTTTTTCCCGCAATCTGCATTCACTGGCAGACTATGCTAACCCAACAACCTGGGACGAGCTCCCATCGACCTTCCTTCGCAAAGAAATCATACTCAATCTCTCCCAACCCGCTATGTTAATCTTACATACAGAGAAGAAAAAGATACGCCAACAAAAATAAAACCCTTAAACCACCCATAGCTTTTACAGGAAGAAGGAAAAGACATCAAAGAGAGAGAAAAATACAGCCTGCTCATCAGTCCGCCCGCTCCCCGCTTATCGGTAATACGCCAGTACAATATGTGAAAGGTCCAGAAAAATATTTAAGAAAATAAACCCCCTCTACCACCTCTAAAAATTAGTGCTTTGGTCACTTGCCGTGCATCGGACTCCCTAAAGACCTCTCTTTCACTTCCGTTACCTCCACTAGTGCCTTGAGTCCACTATTTTCTTTCCTCAATCTCCTGAACTCATTATTAGTGTCTCTTCACTGCCATCATCTAGATAGGAACAAAACGTACATATTCTCTCTCTTCAACTTCCCCTGCTCCACCCGCACTTCCTGTAGAAGCTTCAAGATCTCGGCCTCCCCTCGCCCTTGTTTCAGTGCTGCGCTCATTTTCACCAACTCCTTATTGAAAGTCTCAAACATGACATCGTTCTCATTTAAGCAATCATTCCACACCTCCACAAGTCCCTCTAATTCCTTGTTCTTCTTGTCAAGAGTGATCTCGAATTTATTTCTCTCGATCTCTAACTTATTCGTCACAGTCTCTATCTTATTGGTCAAGTCATTTATCTCTGGAATTCGAGACTCGAGCTGAGAGATTCGCGATGTGAGCTCTTTGATAGCAGCTGAGTGAGCAGTACCACGACCGGAAAGACGAGAAGCCATGCTCAGCTCCTCGCCGATTTTGTCGATTTCGCGCTGTAGCCCGCTCTCAACCCGAGTGATGGCCTGCTTTTCTGACAATAGCCGTTCGCGAAGCTTTTGTGTGCTCTGCATTTTGAGACGCTGGGGGCCAGGGCTTGAGGTGGCCCCAGTATTCCCGGTGGTTCCACGACGAGCTGAAATCTCGTTGCTCCGGTCACTGAGGCGGGAGTTAGAGCGGCCTGGGGTTGAAGGTGTATGTGGTGGTGTGTTTGCCCTCTGCGGCGGGCTCACCGTAGTACGACTACGGTTGCGGAGCCCATTGCTGCGGGTCAGGCGAAGAGGATCGGGGTGATCTGGTGTTCTAGGGGTGAGGCGAAGGGGGTCTGGGTGGTCAGGTGTATGCCTGTTGATGCGGAGAGGATCCGGATGATCCGGCGTATGCCTATTGACACGGAGGGGATCCGGATGGTCTGGGGTATGCCTATTAGGGCGAAGAGGGTCTGGATGATCGGGCGTATGACGGTTGATGCGTAGGGGATCTGGGTGGTCTGGAGTTTGCCTGCTGACTCGGAGGGGATCAGGATGATCTGGGGTACCTGTATGTCTGCTGAGACGAAGTGGATCTGGGTGATCAGGTGTACCTGTGTGTCTGTTGAGACGAAGAGGATCTGGATGGTCTGGTGTGTTGTATCTGTGAAAACGCAGAGGGTCTGGATGATCAGGTGTGTTTCGACTGAAGCGGAGAGGTTCGGGATCAGGGAATCGAAGGGGCTCAGGGTCAGGGAATCGAAGAGGTTCGGGGTCAGGCAAGTGGAGAGGATCTGGGTGATCGGGAGTTGAGCTCATTGGTGGTAGAATGGGCTGATAGTCAGGGTGATTGGTGAGGTCACTCAAGGAGCTTCTACGCTTCCTTCGAGGAGCACCGCTGGGAGTGCTAGGTACCCCCAGATTGGGAGGTTCTACGGGGAGTGGCTTTTCCGGAGACGGGTGTGGGGGAGGAATGACTGATGAAAGAGGTCGTAGAGGCGGCAGCGCCGACGACATAGGATTGCTGAAAGCGTTCAAGAGATTTGGACTGTCTCGTGAAGATGGCCTGCCCGCTGGTTGGACATAAGGTCTAGCATCATAATCTGTCGATTTACTCCTTGCTAGGTGACCCTTATGTGTATCCTGTCCTAGCCTGCTACTCTTACTGAGCGTCCTCCATACACTGCTCTTACCATCAGCACTGTACGGATCTCTCATTGAGTTATGGCTCAGCCCAAGTCTCTTCCGCAGCGATGTGGTTGAATAAGCAACACTGGTGACCGATTTGTGTCGTTTGACGAACGCTCCATTTCCGTTAACCGTTTCACCATGATTGCTATTCATCGTATCTGACGCGGTGCTCCCATCAGTTGGTCCCCCTAGGTAACAGAAAGAATCATGGTTACCGTTAAAAAGGCTATCTGCTTCCTCGACCAATCTATCCACGAGCGGCATGAAATCGAATGGATCCGAGTCCTCAAAGACCAATAACTCAGTAAATGCCTTTGTAAGCAGTCCTTTATCATCAGCATCTTGAACTCGACCCTGCATAGCTCTAAGTAATATGACTATGGTCCGAAAAGCTCTTTTGTTCTGCGGGGTCCAGTCTAGCACAAATATCTTGAAAAAGTCTTCGAAGTCCCCAGGATATAGCTCTTCGCTTTTACTCTGTAGCTCAGCCAGGGCCTTTTCTGCAATGACAGGCCCCATTCCATCTTTCCACTCTCCGCGGAGAAAGCGACGGAATGCTTCAAATACGACGTCGACACCAAGATCTATCTCTACTTTCACACTCTTGGGATTGTGAACCATGTCCTCGAGAAATTCCTCTACTGCGATATTGTCAACTCCGTGCATTTCACGGAGTGGGTCAAGGTCGGCATCAGCAGAGGAGAACATCCGAAGTGCAACAATGAAGGCCTCGAATGTCTCCTCCAACCGCTTCAATGGACTTTCGTTCGCCATTGTGATGCTCACATCCGTTTTTTCCTCATAGTCGTTGATGTCTTCAAGACTCCAGTTTTCAACTCCCATGACGGTTTGCCGTTTCTGAAGGGTACTCGGCGTGCGTTCCACTTTCGGGGGAAGCATTTGAGATTGGGTCCGGTCCAGAAGAACAGGTCGCTTATTAGGGGAACCCGGGACACCGTTAGCAGTATTATTGTTGTTATTGTTGTTGCTTCCCAAGAATGAACTGAATAGCTTCACCGGGCTCGGCGGCCTAAGCCTGCTGAACCTGCTCTCACCATCAAATGGAACACCCGAAGCTCTCAACAGCTTCCGGTTTGCGGACATCAGCGCCGATGTCAACGGGGGATGTTGCGGGAGTGAGTGAAGTCTGAGTAGCGATGACACCCTCTTTGTAAAAACCGCCAATAACTCCTCCGGAGGTACTGTGTCAGTTGAAGAATAATCGTTCCAACTCCTGAACTCAACTCGCACTTTATTCCCCGCGATTGCCTCCACGGATACTGCAATATCAACCCCCTGTTTCCCTATCCTTTCAGTGAGCTCCTTTCCCCACTTCCCACTTCCTCCACCTCCCCCACCGTCATCAATATAGACGACTACCCCCCCTTTCCTCTTCTCAGCAGTGTATCGGGTTTCACTGCCCCAAACGCAGGACCAAAATCCTAGACCTTCGGATTTGATCTCTCGAAGGCCTATCACGCCTTTCCCGTTAGTAGAGACTCTACGCTCCAGTTTGGCCTTCACGAGATCTTCGGCAAATTTAGTAGCACGCCCTTCGTATGCATTTAGAAGCCTCATTCGTCGTAGCCCCATGCCTCCTGCACGCACATCCCAACTGTCATTCAAATCCTTTGCCAAGGTCATCCAAACAATATCTCCGCCGTCACTTTCTGCAATCCTGACATCAGAAAGGTCCATCCAGCCTGCGAATTGAAGATCACAGCCTGACCCTTCTCGTTTGGTCCCACTTCCGATCGCAGCCATAGCTCCACCAGGCCTATCAACTTCTGCCATAATCGCACGAGCCTGCATAGAATTTGGTTTTGGCCGACGTAAAATAACCAGGCGGTCTGCGAAAAGCAGCATGGTGGAAGGGATTGCGTCTGCATTCTGGTCATTAAAAGGCGGCAGGACGTCAAGGAAATCAATCCCAGTTATAAGGCGTCCGGAAGGCTTCAGTGTGGAAGGCCAAGAAACTATTATTGATTGCAGACGCTTTGTTGTTTGAGAACGCTCATCGATATCAGATGATTGCAGCGAGCAAATCTCAGTAATTATTTCCCGAGCTTCCATTAGTATGATCAAAGATGGATGGTCAAGCGGGATGGAGTTAAGCATGTTGTCTATGAGGAGCGCGTATCGAGGCAGTCTTTGAACGGGCTCAATAATGAGTGATCGAAGCTTCTGTTCGCCAGTTTGCTGAACCCTTTTCGAGAATGATGAATGCTTGTCTTTTGAAAACTTCCCAAGCAATTGTGCGAACTCGGGAGATGCTCGTAGATATTCCGCATAGCAGTCCTTAAATTCGGGAAAGTGTTTTAAGCAAACTTTCGCTACTTCTTCAATTCCCCCCAACTCTATCTCGGCCAAAAATCTTGTATTAACCTCTAGGATTTTGTCGAGGCATGGGGGAAATAATGTGTCTAAATCCCTTGCACTTGGAAATCCAGATTCAGCTTTCTTCTGTGTAAAACGTGCGCGCAAAGGTATCACGAGATTCTCGATCAGGTCCCGTAGCTTTGCGACGTAGTTGGCTTCTGTATATCGTAGCTCCTCCAATTCACGTTCTAAAGCTGCAGCATTGATCTTCAATTGAGGCCTTGCGGATGCAGGCCTGCTTGCGGCGCGCTTTAGTTTAGTAAAGGGTAAATGTGTCGGGTCTCCGAAATGACTGAGAAGCTCCTCAACCCCATCGCTCATAGCCTCTTCCGTTACTTCCTCCCCATTCGGAGATCTGATGACTAGATCTACATCCAGCCAGCTGACAAAGCGCTCGCTCAGGGCCGGCATAATATCCCCCACTAATCCATCCATCTCCACCTCTTTGAGCCGCGCTGCGAGATCTCCGGCGTGCATCTCGTCAAACGCGACAGCCTGGCCCTCGCCATTTTGTGGTAGATTTGATTTTGAGCGAAGTATCTTCTCTTTAATCGCTTTGGGAAGCTCTGAAAAGTATTTAAGGACTGCGATTGCGAGGCCACGGTATACTTCGACTGATTGTTTTGGTAGTGGGAGGTGGTTGACAGCCGCATAGAGGGGGGAGGACGGAGAGAGGATTAGTTTCGGGTATGACTGGAGACCAGCGCAAGTGAGGATGTGAGCTTCAATCCTGGAGGTCGCAGCAGAGGAGGTTAATGAGAAGGGGTTGTAAAAGACAAGGACGTGGCCGAGGACGGGATCGGAGGTGCAGTAGGGCGTGCAGTGAGAGAGGTGCGGCGGGGGAGACGAGAGTGAAGCCATTGGGGCTCGTGGGTTTGAGGGATGAACCTCGAAATCAGAATGGAGAGGACTAGGGGACCTGGGGGGGGGCCGGGGAAGTTGTTGGTGTACCCCAGGTTTGTTGTTGTTGTGGGAGCACTATTGTGCAGGAAGGACGTGAGATTGGGGGGGTTCTGATGACGCAGGCCAGGCAGGAGATGTAGGATTAGACACCGTTCTCTGTCTGTCTGGTCTGGTCTGATCCACCAAGAAGCTGTTCGTCTGTCATCCGGTTTGCTCCAGGGGATTGTTTGACATGACCTTTTCCTATTTACATGTAGGTATCCTAAATAGGTATGCGGGTTCGTGGAGGAGGCAGGGCAGGGGAAGGGCTCTTCCCACAGTTTATCTCTTCTGTGAATGTGATGCAGCAGCCAGATGTTGAGCTGTGCTCTTGCTGATCCCGACAACTCTACTGCCTTGCCTCCTTCATCCTTCCTCTCGGCTGCCCTCCTCCACCTCCACCACCGCCTTCCGTTTTACTGCCCTGCCAGCAGCCAATCTAATGTGCGTCTATGGACCCTTTTCCCCGCCAAATCAGCTTTTGCGTTGATCAGTTGCAAGGGGAAAACAACAAAATATTCTGAACATTAAGATTTACAGCATCTTACCGTAGTTCAACAGCATACAAGCGGACAGTCAATCAATTCATAGGGAAAATAAAGGCTCTCTTACCCCTACATATCTTCATCTTTTTTTTCTTTCTTTCTTTTTCTTTTTTTTTGCTTGTATTGCAGAAACAAGCTTAAGTCTCAATCAATCTAAACCCCGCAGCAAGCGATTCAGCTCCATCATGGTTCAGCTGGCTTTGGCACTTCCCCGGTTGATTGTCCCCTGCAGGTCAACGACGATCCCTGTCACTCACCGAACTGACGACACATTCCGCAAGTGGTGAGAGGGAAACCTCAGACAGAGAGGTCTCTACATGTATGTGGGTACATATATGTGGGTACATAGAGTAGATAGAGCACCGCCTTACTTTTGATCTCGATTCGCCGAGACATTGCCTGAGAAGAGACCCCCGGGAAACGGCCGGTAAACACCGGTTATCACTCATTACCGGTAAGATGTGAGTGATAGGCTGTGACGAAGAGGCCTAACTACTTTTTATTCGAAGCAGAAAAAAATATAGAGTTACATGTAATCATCCGGTGTATGCGAGGTTCAAAGGAACGATCAAATCGTGGATTCTCGAGCTTTAATGATACGCCGGGGAGGTTTGTAATGATTGATAAAATACTCAACGCAAAAAATAGAAAAGTGTCCGTTCAAGTTCTGGAATTTACACAATACGACTATAAAAAAAAATTAAATATTCCAAAAATTCAAAGCCATTCATAATTACGCCCCTGCACCTCCATTCTCCACCACACTGTTATCTACTGATTCCACAGCAGTGGTAGAAGTTGCAGCAGAATCGACTTCGGTCTTCTCTTTGGTTGCACTTCCTTTTAATCGGTAGTGTAATAAGATATCTCCATGACTCTTCCACACGTACGAACGTATTGTTGCCAGTGTCATTGATGGGTCCAAAACCTACACGGGGCTATTAGCTTTGTGGATGATCTGCACGGGAGACTAATAAAAACCATACATGATCATGACAAACCAGCTCTATAAAATCCTCTGGTTTTGGTCCTTCTTCCCCTTCCTTAGTTATGGGCACATAGCTAAGTTGCGTAAACGGAGGCTGCAATCTTTCGGCCACGTACGCCGCGATCTTCTTTGCCCTTAACATCCGGTTCGCATTCAATCTTGAGTTCTTTCCCTCGGCTATACCATCACTCTGCAGTGTCGGTAAACGATCGCTATATGGAACTAATACGAACGAAACCTTTACTATCTCTTTCAGCGGGATTTGGTTGCGTAATATCAACTCTCCTAACCACGCCGGTGCAACCCTCTCTAGCAGATCTGCATCTTCACCAACTGTTGCTACCGTCCCACGATATAGATCCGCTACACCTCCTGAATCTGGACTGTCATCTTGAACGAGAATTGTGGTATTTCCGGGCGGCTTCAAAATCGGCGTTTCACTTGGTAGGGATGGATTTATCCCCGATCTGAACGGCCCCCCATCACTTGGTGGCATAACCTGATCGTATGTAATTCTCAATCTTTTGATCACACCTGCCAAGGTATCGTCTAATGGGTCATGTTCTAAGAGCCCACCGAGATCTGCCGGAGCTTCCTCCACAGTTGCGGGTGGCTTATTGGTGATATCGACCGACATACTCCTTCCCAATTTTCGATTACCAAAGGATTTCCAACGCCCGAGGAGGGACATATCCTTTTCATCTTTATCCTTTTCGCCTGTAGGTGTAAGTGGAGTATCATCGCCGCATGCTTCACCTAGCGAAGGTCCAGACTTTTCTTTCTCCGGTTTGGCACCATTGCCGGATGAGAAATAATCGCCACGGTCCATTGATGGCCTTGATAGTGGAGATAACGAGCCGCGATTTTTCGGTTCTTCTTCTTCTGCTGTTGGTGGCAGGGTATTGGCGTCTCCTGTAAAGGAAGGAAGATAGGCAGGCGCAGGTGTGGCAAGCCCAATTGACATGCCAGGTGTCTGAGGAAATAACGAGAAGCTATTACTGGGCTTCGGGGTGGTGGTGCTACTAGGAGACTGTGGGCTTGCAGCGTCAATCATGGAAAACGTAGGCGGAGGCATCGAGATGGCTGGGGGGGCATTTGCCCGGCGTAGTTTTTCTCTTTCTGCTTTGTCGGCCTCAAGCTTTTTGCGATAGATTTCATCACGCCGGATTTCTTCCATAATAAGGTTGTTAAAAAGGTACCGAAGGACCCACTTCCCAAGGTTTACTACGAGGTGTTGGTCAGTATGCGGCGTCAGTCCTCGACGGTATACATGGAATATTCTTACTTCTTTGGTCGTCTCTAAAATCCCCCGCGCTCTCGATATCTGCTTCGTCGGCATACATTTCTGCATCAAAACAATAATTCTCCTCGAGGACACATGATAGGCGGCCGGTTCTCGTGTCTACTTGACACCAGTTTGCAACGGATTCGACTGTGTTGATTTCCGCTGCTACGTCGTCAAGGTGCCGTTTCCCAAAGCTCTTTACGGGTACACATTTCAATAGATCCCACATCATTACTTCCCCCGCTGTATCAAGGGTAAGAACCCTCCTCCTGTCATTTAATAGAAAATGATTAATCAATCCATGCTGTCCTTCTATTGTCTCGTCTGGAAGGTCATTGACAGGCACTAAAATCCCAGGGTCGCCATCAATGGTCTCAGCAATAGATGCAGCTTGGGTAACAGAGTATACTGTGACGGCATCGGGGTCCCTCACATTCGTAGGGAAACTTGATGTGCTTGATATCCTTAGCAAGGCACTAACTGGTATTGTTGGCTTTTTCGTAGTTGGCGAACTCGGTACCACTGGAGAGGATGCAGGACTTAAGGGTCGAGGGCGTACACTTGCGGATGATGTCAATCGCGGGCGTTTGGCGTCCGTTGCAATCTCATTATTTGTATCAACATCCACCCATCGGTTTATACTGGAACTTTGGGTCGCTGTCCAGAGATAGTCTCCTGATGCGACAACCTTGTTGACAGGCTCTTGCTCCTGGCATACAGCCACACAGATGCCCTCCTCAATCTCGGTTGTCCGTACGTCAGTTTTTGCAACGAGTCCAGAGCGGTCGCTTGAGTGGAAGATATCGAGAGCTGGGTGAGAGGAGTAAAGAGACCACACACTATCACTGTGCATACTGAGTGTGTGAAGACATCTTCCTGCCGTTAGACTCCACATTTTGATTGTCGTGTCCGAGGATGCCGTTAAAATTATGTTTCCTTGCTCGCTCACAAGAATAGCACGAACATTATCTGTGTGTCCAAGAAACTTTGTGATCCTTTTGCCTGTCCGTGGATCCCATACCCGAACAACACTTTCAGGTCCACCACTTGCGAGGATTCCACCTCCAGCACCCCCGATACCGAGGGAATAGACCGAGCCTTTTGTATTCAACTCATCGCCAATATCAATCTGTAGCCTTTCGCCGCCACCGTTAAGATCCCACAACTTAATTTTTCTGTCTAGCCCCCCACTGGCCACCCAGTCTGAGTGCACTCCTGGGGTTGCCAAACATTTCACATAGTCGCTATGTACACCAATTGTTTCTGCTGACTGTTGCTCAGCACGTGGTCGCCAGAGCTTCACTGTAAGATCCGAAGAAGCAGATACTAAGGCAGTGTTGGACTGACACAGCGCGATGTCATTAACCCAGTGTGTATGCGCTTGTATTTGTGCACGGAATGTGGATGGTGGAGGAGGTGTGGGACGCGGGACGAAGGCCGACTCTGTGGTTCGCTCAGTGAGGTCAACCCCGATATTCCAAGAGCATATAACACCATCGCGGCCAGCTGTATAACTGTAGTAGTATATCAGTCTTGATGGCCTACAGTAGATTTCCGCAAGAGAAAACTAACAGGATTCCTTGCTTGTCTACTGCAAGACTGTTGACGCCTAAGCGGTGACCAGGAGAGTTCGCAAGAGGTAGAACTAGTAGGAACAGTGAGCGCGACTCGGAAACATAGCTACTGTAAGAAAGAAGACTGGGTTTGCATCACAGATAAAGGTTTAAACTAGAAGACTAACCATAACTGATCCGTTGGCGAGCCTTGCGTGCCATCTTTGGTCGATGGAAGTCTTGGGGTAAATTGTGGGGTTGATCAGATTGGAAGATATGATAGGGTTTATTACAAAATATTGGTCCAGGATTTCGAATGATCTCGAGTTCCAGGGGTTTCTTAAAGTCGGGGGAAGCCCCTCGTACGATGTATACCCGGCGATATTCGATATTTCACTTCCTTGACGCCGTACGGTGGTAATACGGCGAAACGAACCGGGAAAGAGGACTGGAGGAGAGGCGCGGTACTACTACCGTCACATCAGTATAGTGCTTTCTGGATCAATGGCGGGTCATTCTGTGCGGGTGAGACAGTATGACCCTGCCTAGGAGAGACAGTATGACCCTGCCTAGGAGAGACAGTATGACCCTGCCTAGGAGAGACAGCATGATCTTGTACCATTTACCCTGGTTGCCACTACTCTAGGGGTTGGCTCGGTGTTAACTACATGTACATACATGTACTTTACTGTACCACCGCAAAGAGTGATTGACGACCTACATGTAGATTCTTATAAGAGGGTTAATTAGCCCGATGTTACCACCACCTTGTAATCTGGTACCGTGTGAAACTGAGAAATCGGTCATTGGCATGCAAACTTGGCTGTGATTAGGCCTGGGTCTGACAGTGCTGGGTCTGGTAACAATGACATTGGATCCATGACTTTAGGAATTTACCCTTCGTTTATTCATTTATAGTTGTCTCTGCCAGTGAAAGCTCTGCCCTTTCTTGTAGAGATTGTGCTGAGAGTTCGTTTGTTGGACTCGTAGTCAATTAATCTAATAGCTTAAGCGTTCCCCTTCCTTTATAAGGATTTACTATATCCATTAGTTTTTTTTTAGCAGGCTGCTAGCTGAATCTCTTCGGTAATCTCTGGGACGTAGGGAAATGAATATTTGCGTTTTTCCTTTCGACAGGTTTTTGGCTAGCTTGGCCAACGCAATCAGTACTCAGTACCCGTCATTTGCGAAATGATTTTTCGTCCTGATCACCTTTTATACCATAGGAGATGTACTGTGCATAATGTCTTAACCTGGTACGTATGAAACTGGGAAGTGGGTCATTGGCATATAAATTCGGGAACAAAATATTTGGCAGGCCTGGTGTAGCCAAATAATACGTTACATGGATCCATAACTTTAGAAAGGAATTTGCCCTAAATTTATAGTTGTCCCTGCTGAAAGCTGACTACATGTACCTCTTCTTGTAGAGAGTTCGTTTGTTAGACTCGCATTTGTTAATCTAGTAGCCTCAGGCCTTCCTTTCTTCCTTTGTGGGGGTTCACGACATTCCTCCAGCAAACTCTGGAACACGTACGTAGGGGAATGGTATGTATTTATTTTTTAATGTTTACTTTTTACTTTTTACTTTTTACCTTTTTCCTTTCCTCTTTTCCTTACTTTCTTTCGGCAGGTTTCTGGCCAATTGCAATCACTACCCGTCATTTGTGAAATAATTTTTCGTGTTGGCCGTTTATATTATAGGTGAAATAGGTGAAATAGGAAAATTTACTATTAGGCTAGGTTCGCCATTGACCAGGGAAATACTGTAGGCCATATGGTGCAGGAATCACAGGAGACTCCCCGCATCTACTCCCCAGCCTCCCTCTCATTGCGGAGTAGATGTGTGTAGGTCCTGGCCTGTCAAACCAGAAACCTGGAGAGGCGCCTTCTTTACCGGCCGGGGCCTTGATATCGCACGCGTTTGCGCGCAACATGGCCAAGTAAATTGAGTTCATTATGAGTTGACGGTACGTTACATCTTGGCTTTGCTTTGTTGAAATGTGCACTCCAAATAATATAAGACATCCGAAGAATTGTCTACTCTATAGATCTAGGTAGACTCGCCTAGATACTGAGCAATGTTAATCATAGCCCCCTAGCTCTCTATAAATGACATACTTAATGGTACCTCTCATGGAGAACTAAGTAAACTTATTATGATATGCAAAACATGGTGATCAATATGAGCTTTGTATAGGCTTCTTCGATGTCAATTGATGATTTTCTATTAGGTTTATGATTGCCATAAGGTACATGTAATGTACTAGAAGTATTAGAATAGGTGCATACAAGTTACTTCATGTACCTACAATGTAGATATTGTGCAGTTGACCGTGTCCCCAACCTGTATCCTACACCAAAAGTGGTTGCTGCGCGAATCTAGCAAATTAACGTCAACGGCGGCGTTGAACCCTGTCTCATCCAGGGCGTAGAGTTGGTGCGTGTATTAACTTTCAGACTGTCCCCTGGCTTTTTAGGTCCATATCGCTATCGGGACAACAGCCAACCACGTTCTCCTCCATCAACCTCCCTTTCCACACAGGAGTTGGTAGTCATCATCGGCCTTCTTGCTCCAGCTCCAACCCACTTCTGCATTCTCCTGCACCTGCATCTGTTGTTGATTGTTACCTACGAACTTTCTGCCCACATCATCTTGCTCTTACCCCCGCTCACATACGATAGCCCATACAGACTTTATAATCTCCCCAACTCATATGCTACACTGACAGTGCGAAACTTACTAGCTAGATTTCATACCAGAACCAGAACCTAACAGTTTGGACGTGCTATACAGCTTTAACCATGGACGGCCCAGTCGTGATAGCTAGTAATACAACAATGGCCACTTCCTCATCTACCACCTCACTCCTACCAGCTTTCAACCCAATCCTACTCATCGACTATCTCACAGAAGTTCTTTCCGCCACATTGGGCGCGAGCAAACGAGACCTTGAGTCTAATGGGAGCATTTTATCAGATCCCCGATATTCAGAGACTCTGTCGAAGTGTTCAAGATTTGCTGCAGAACCGATTGTAGCTCTCTATGCTTCTAAAGATGTACTGGAAAAGGAGCCTTCCCCGGAGGATGTTTCATGTATGTTTGTTTCTACTCCTCATATTACAACTCTTAATTAACATGGCCCTAGCACCTATATCCAGTCCAACCTCGGTTGCCTATGTTTACTCCATCGCATCGGAGATGTCTTCATCACCTAGTACAGTGGCCTCCTTAGCTATTATCAAGCGACCACAGCCCCTGGATCCTACTATACCTCTTCATTCACAACTTCAGATTATGAACCTTCCTGGTACAGTAGTCTTGAACAGTGGTGCACAAGGATCAGTATCCCCTTTTGAAATTTTACACTCTGTTGTACATCTAGCGTTGGGGCCGTATTTTGATGCCTATACCAAAGGCCAAGAGACTCAATCGCATGGCCGAATAAACAGGTTTGCAGATGGAGAGGCAAAGACAGGTATTCCTGTTACGAAGAAGAAGTTGGCGGAACTCGAACTCTCACTTTTGCATCTACAACAGAATATTGAGATTCCCGAGCTGTCATTGGCTCTTCATCAAGTTGTCCAAGCAGCAGTTGATGAGGTACTTAATATCTCGATAAGAGTAAATCATATATAAACTGATCATGTGTATAGGCTCTTCTCAAGACCACACGACCGTCATTGGAGCTTATTCCTGCTCATCTCCTTCAAGATAGCACTTTCTTGAACAACTTGCAGTCTACGGTTAATGCTTGGATCAAATCGATCCAGTCAATCACAAAAATGTCTCGTGATACTGAGAGCGGGACTGCCACTCAAGAAATTAATTTCTGGTTATCAATGGAGAGTGCATTGGAGGGCATTGAAGAACAGTTAAGGAGTGAAGGGGTGCTGCTCACCTTAGAAATCTTGAAGCATGCAAAACGATTCCACGCCACTGTCAGTTTTATCGCTGACACGGGGCTCAAAGAAGCAACCGACAAAGGTTGAATTTCTTATTTTTTATTCCAATTATTCCATGAAACCTGTATTAACTGTGGTTCTTAATCAATAGTACAAAAATATAATCAGCTTATGCGCGATTTCCCACTCGATGAATTGTTATCTGCAACTAGCCTACAGAAAGTCCAAGATGCAATTGTCGGAATTTTCCTCCACCTCAATAAGAAACTCCGTATTTGCCCATATCCGATTCGTCGGGCACTCCCACTTGTCGAGGCCATCTCGGCAGATTTGGACTCACAGATTCACACCCTACTCAGTGGACGTCGGTTGATGCACTTGGAGTACAGGGATTTTGAATCACTCATGAATGTTGCTGAGGGGGTTTTCAAAACTTGGGAAGAAAACATTAAAGAGTTTACAAACGTTGCTAGAGATGTTACTCGAAAACGATCGGAGAAATTCATACCTATCAAAATCTCTGCTAGACATCTCAAGACCCAGGAGCGGCTTGCATATATCAAGGCATTTAGACACGGTCACGAGCAGCTGCAAAGGACAATTGCGAATGTTCTCGGTCCAAAGTCATATGAGAACGGCATCCCCGCCATAACAGCGGGAACTACCGTGGCAAATGGGGTCGCTGTGATCGAAGATATCGGCGATGTAGATGCCGTCGATGAAGTCGCCCAGGCATATGCTGTGTTGAAGGATGTCGATGTATTGGATGTTACGCCAGAGGGTACCGAAATCTGGATTGCCGCTGAAAATGCGTACAATGAACGGACATCACGTGTTGAGAACTCGATTATTGCAAGATTGAGAGACAGACTTGCCACCGCAAAGACAGCGAATGAGATGTTTCGCGTGTTTTCTAAGTTCAATGCTCTTTTTGTTCGCCCTAAAATTCGGGGTGCTATCCAGGAGTACCAAACACAGCTTATCGATAGCGTGAAGCAAGATATAGCGGCCCTTCATGAGCGTTTCAAGCAGCAATATGGTCACTCGGAGGCTCACGCGATGGCCCAGTTGCATGACCTACCTCCTATATCCGGAGCGATTATCTGGGCGAAGCAGATTGAGAGGCAATTGAATGCTTATATGAAAAGGGTAGAAGATGTTTTGGGCCGTGGTTGGGAAATGTACCATGAGGGTCAGAAGTTACAGGGAGAGAGCAACACATTCAAGAAAAAGCTAGACACAAGACCGATTTTCGAATCGTGGTTGCATGATGTTACAAAACGAAATCTATCAATTTCTGGGCGTCTTTTTAGTATCACAAGGAACAGGGCTGCCGGAAATACACTTGAGCTCATAGTAAATTTCGATCAGCAGGTTATCGCGCTGTTTAAAGAAGTTCGAAATCTTATATGGCTCAACTACCAGGTCCCGCACTCGATTAACAACATCTCCAAGGAAGCAAAACGAGTATATCCCTATGCAGTTAGTCTGATGGAAACAGTAAGGACATATGCACAAACAAATAGAAATATCATGGAGATGTCGGATGTATCGATTCTGCTCAGCGGATACCAGAATGACGTCAACGGTCTCATCACAAAGGGTATTCCCCTGAAGTGGGAATCATTTGTACATTCTTATGATCTGCACCTGAGACAATTGCAATATCTACCCAACGGGAACATCGATCCAACAACATCACTAGCTGGAAGAGAGAGTAAGCATGTTCAGTTTGTCCGCGACTTTGCTGCAGCGGTGTCAATACTTCAGAGCAAGACTGGAACTCTAGGAAGTATCCATGACACGACTCAAAAATCCATGGCCGAACTGCGAACTTGCCCATATGACATGGACGCTTTCCAGCAGAAACTCGAGATCATCCAGACCGCCGTCGATCAGCTCAACCTAGAGAACTATGTCAACCTTTCACATTGGGTCGGCGAACTAAATAGTAAGATTGAGGAAATATTTCTCAGCAGGCTTACAGAAGCGATTGTCTTGTGGATTGAGGTATTCAAGGATGCCAAGGGCGATGAAGGCGCAGATGGAGATATTCAGAGGAAGAGGTTTAGTAAAATTGAAAGCGAAGATATGGAGATAGTTTCCAAAGAAAATGGCGCCTACAACCCGAGGATGAAAAGACTAGTGCATGAAATTAGTATCAGGAATCAGGTTATTTATTTAGACCCTCCATTGGAATTCGCGAGGGCAAGTTGGTACAGTCAATTGCATCAGTGGTTGGGGATTGCGTGTAATTTGAAAAAGTTGAAGGCTAGTCGGTATGAGATGAATATTAACTTGGCGGCTGGAGGAGACTCAGAGATGTTATTTTCTGATTTGGTGAGTCGTTATGATATTAATAAACTCATATATGTAAAGGATTCGGCTGATGATGGTAGCCTGCGAACTGTGCTTCTACACTATCTGATGCATACGAAGCCATTGAGCAGAAACTAGCAGCAGTCGGCGCATACGTGGATGAATGGCTCAGGTTCCAATCGCTTTGGGATTTGCAATCAGAGCAGGTATACGATATTCTAGGTGATAACCTGACTAGGTGGTTGCAACTTCTCCAGGAAATCAGAAAAACTCGGTCTACGTTCGATACTTCGGATGTAAGTCGTTCATTTGGTAACTTGACCATCGACTATGAGCAAGTTCAGACGAAAGTCAATGCCAAATACGATCAATGGCAACACGATATCCTCCTCAAATTTGCCAATAAGCTTGGGTACCGTATGCGGGAGGCACACGCTGAGATCGGGAAGGCAAGGCGTGATCTTGAGGGACAATCACTTGAAGCATCATCGACTGCGCAAGCCGTGGCATTCATCACCATCGTCCAGCAATGTAAGAGGAAGGTCAAGACATGGGCACCTGAAGTGGAGCTATTTAGACAAGGGGAGACAACACTATTGAGGCAGAGGTATCAGTTCCAGGGCGATTGGTTGTTTGTTGAACAAATTGACGGCGAGTGGGGTGCACTGAATGAGATATTGGCGAGGAAGAGTAAAATCGTACAGGATCAAACGGATGCGCTCCGAGCAAAGATTTTGGCGGAGGATATGGTGGTAACCGATAAAATCAACAACATTGTTGGAGAATGGAACGATCAGAAGCCTGTCTCTGGGACTATTGCACCCGAGGAAGCCTCGCATACTCTTAAGGAGTTCGAGAGCAGGCTTACACAACTTAAATCAGAGTCCGAGATGGTTTCAAAGGCCAAGGAGGCTCTCGATATTGCTGCTGGTCCTGAAAATATTCTTGTCTCTATTCTTGAAGAGGTGCAGGACTTTAAGTCTGTTTGGTCTGCGCTTTCAACTATTTGGAAGAGTTTGAACGATCTTCGAGACACGCCATGGTCTTCTGTCTTGACCAGGAAAATTCGCCAGGGTCTCGAGGGGCTCATCAATATGACTAAAGAGATGCCGAGTCGTATGAGACAATATGCTGCATTTGAGCATATTCAGAATGTTCTCCGACAACTTGTCAAAGTTAACCCCCTACTGTCCGAGATGAAATCTGAGGCTGTTAGGGAGAGACATTGGAATAAGATATTCAAGGCATTGAAGCCGGGGCAAAGAGTTTATCTTAGTTCGCTCACATTAGGAGCTGTCTGGGATTTGAATTTGACCGCCAGCGAGCCTGTTATCAAGGATATCATTGCCCAGGCTCAAGGCGAGATGGCACTTGAGGAGTTCTTAAAACAGGTTTGTCATTGTATAACTTATATTTACGAATTACTTGCTAATATGTCCTTAGGTTCGTGAAACATGGACTAGCTACGTTCTAGACTTGGTCGGATATCAAAACAAGTGCCGTTTGATTCGCGGATGGGATGATCTTTTTGCCAAGTGCAGTGAGAACCTGAATTCGCTACAGGCTATGAGACATTCACCTTACTATAAAGAATTTGAGGACGAAGCCTCGTCATGGGAGGATAAGCTCAATCGTGTCCATGTCCTGTTCGATATCTGGATTGATGTGCAGCGCCAATGGGTTTACCTTGAAGGTGTATTCACTGGAAACGCCGACATAAAACATCTTTTACCTATCGAATCATCACGGTTCCAGAATATCAACTCTGAGTTCTTTACCGTCATGAAAAAAGTGTACAAGTCACCTTATGTCCTCGATGTTCTCAACATCTCAGGTGTTCAGAAATCGCTCGAACGTCTCGCGGAGCTCCTCAACAAGATTCAAAAAGCTCTAGGAGAGTATCTCGAACGTGAACGTGTTCAATTCCCTAGGTTCTACTTCGTCGGTGATGAGGATTTATTGGAGATTATTGGTAATAGTAATGATTCTGTCAGGATTCAAAAACATTTCAAAAAGATGTTTGCTGGCCTCAACGGACTAATTCTGGACGATGATTCTACAATTCTTGGATTTACTTCAAAGGAAGGTGAAGAAGTCAAACTGAAGAAAGAAATTTCACTTATCAAGACACCAAAAATCAACGATTGGCTGACCGCGCTGGAGAATAACATGAAGCTCACTCTCGCAGAGTTGTTAGCAGAGGCCGTGAGCGATTTTAAAGAGGTCTTTACTGCAAAAGAGCTAGATCAAGAAAAATTTACGGAATATATTGCGAAGTACCCTGCACAGATACTGGTTCTTGGAACACAAGTTGTGTGGACGACGGTTGTGGAAAAGGCATTGAATGACGGTGGAGGGGATTTATTTGAGTTATATGAACAAGAGGTCAGGGTACTTGCATTGCTTGCTGCCACTGTGCTAGGGGATTTGGGTGCGATTCAAAGGAAGAAGTGTGAACACCTGATTACCGAATTTGTGCATCAACGGGACTGTATCTACAGGCTAGCAAAGTCTGGGGCTAACACTACGGAGGATTATGTCTGGTTGTTGCAGATGAGGTATCATTATGTGGAGGAGGGAGATTATCTGAACAGGCTTAAAATTCGGATGGCCAATGCGGAGTTGGAATATGGATTTGAATATCTTGGTGTGGCAGAGAGGCTCGTCCGCACACCTTTGACGGATCGCTGTTTCTTGACATTGACGCAAGCTCTTTGCCAGAGGCTTGGAGGGTCTCCATACGGTCCCGCGGGTACTGGTAAGACCGAATCTGTCAAAGCGCTCGGTGTACAACTCGGACGATTTACTCTCGTCTTTTGTTGTGATGACACTTTCGATTTCCAGGCTATGGGGAGAATTTTCTTGGGTATTTGTCAGGTCGGTGCTTGGGGTTGTTTTGACGAATTCAATCGGCTTGAAGAAAGGATCCTTTCGGCAGTCTCACAACAAGTCCAGAATATTCAGCTGGGATTGAAAAAAGCGATTGAAAATCCGAATGCGCAGATCGAACTCGTTGGAAGGCAACTGAAGGTTCATCAAAATACTGGTATTTTCATTACAATGAATCCTGGGTATGCCGGCCGTTCGAACTTGCCAGATAATCTTAAAAAGCTCTTCAGAAGTGTTGCAATGTCCAAACCAGACAAAGAACTCATTGCAGAAGTCATGTTATACTCCCAAGGTTTCGCCCAAGCAAAGTCACTTGCGAAGCAGACTGTGCCATTTTTTGATCAGTGTGCCAAGCAGCTCTCGAAGCAAGCACATTACGATTTCGGGCTGCGTGCGTTGAAAAGTGTGTTGGTCAGTTCGGGTGGGTTGAAAAGAGCTAGGCTGGTAAATGATGGCGTTGGCGCGGATAAGGTGTCAGATGCGGATTGGGAGGCGCAAATTATTGTGCAGAGTTTAAGAGAGACTATTGCGCCAAAGTTGATTAGAGATGATGTGGAGATTATGAAAAGGTAACATTCATCGTTTTTTTATAAATCAATCCATGCTAAAAGCCCTTAGGATTGAGAACGATTCTTTCCCTGGGATTGAATACATTCCTGGGAATCTATCAAAACTGGAGGATGCGATCAGGAATATTGCTGCGGCCCAGAATTTGGTAGTTACAGATGTTTGGATGACGAAGATTTTGCAGCTTTATCAGATACAAACCATTCACCATGGTGTCATGATGGTCGGAGATTCGGGTTCAGGAAAGTCTGCTGCGTGGAAAGTATTGCTCCAAGCTTTACAGATCGTTGAGGGACAAGAAGGGGTACATCACATTATCGATTCAAAAGTCATGTCGAAGGAATCATTATACGGAAGTCTTGATTCAACAACAAGGGAGTGGACGGATGGGTTATTTACAAGTATTTTGAGGAAAATTGTGGATAATCTTCGTGGGGAAGATTCGAAAAGGCATTGGATCGTGTTTGATGGTGATGTCGATCCGGAGTGGGTTGAGAATTTGAACAGGTATTCATTTCAATCTATTTTATTGATATTTGTAGCTCGTGTTAACGTTTACAGTGTTTTGGATGACAACAAACTCCTGACATTACCTAACGGAGAACGTCTCAATCTTCCCGCCAATGTCCGTATCATGTTTGAGGTTGAGACCCTGAAGTATGCAACCCTAGCTACTGTCTCACGTTGTGGCATGGTCTGGTTTAGCGAAGACACGGTTACATCGATGATGATGGTCAAACACTACCTGAAATCTTTGCGAACAATCGTGTTTGACGACCTTGACGAAGATAACACTATTAGCTCTGGGCAAGTGTCCGTCAAAGCCTTGTCAACTCAATCGCATATGGCTGAGCTGCTCACTCAACTATTGGAAAATGACAATTTTATTGTTGACACATTGACGGAGGCGAAAAAATATAACCATATCATGGAATTCACCGAGGCTAGAGTTCTTAATACCATGTTTTCGTTACTTAACAAGATCTGCCGAAATATGATCGAATATAATATCCAGCATGTCGATTTCCCACTCGAGGATGAACAGGTGGAGGCCTATGTCTCTAAAAAACTTCTCTTGGCAATGGTCTGGAGTTTTACTGGCGATTGCCCATTGGCTGACAGGGAGATTTTTGGCCGATACGCGTGTGGCCTGACTACAGTTGAGCTTCCACCGCTTGGCGAAGGAGGAGCGATCATTGACTACGATGTTTCATTACCAAGAGCCGAATGGACACCTTGGCAAGACCAAGTGCCACAAATCGAAATCAATACACATTCGGTTACGCAAACTGACATCGTTATTCCCACTTTAGATACTGTCAGGCACGAAGATGTACTCTACTCCTGGCTGGCAGAGCATAAACCGTTACTTCTCTGTGGTCCTCCTGGTTCAGGTAAGACGATGACATTATTCAGTGCTTTGCGAAAACTGCCAAATATGGAGGTAGTCGGCCTCAATTTCTCCAGTGCTACGACACCTGATCTCCTCATCAAAACATTTGAACAATACTGCGAGTACAAAAAGACTTTGAATGGAGTTATGCTCTCCCCGACACAAATTGGAAGATGGTTGGTTATATTTTGCGACGAGATCAACTTACCTGCCCCTGATAAGTACGGAACTCAGCGTGCCATATCCTTTTTGAGACAGTTGGTAGAGCAAAACGGGTTCTGGAGGACTTCAGACAAAACTTGGGTTACATTGGATCGTATTCAATTCGTCGGTGCTTGTAATCCCCCCACCGATGCTGGCCGTACGCCAATGGGGGCGCGTTTCCTTCGTCATGCACCTCTCATTATGGTCGATTACCCAGGAGAGACATCTCTGCAACAAATTTATGGAACTTTCAATAGCGCAGTTTTGAAGATTATCCCTAGTCTTCGTGGATACTCAGAACCTCTCACTAAGGCCATGGTGCAGTTCTATCTGGAGTCGCAACAGAAATTCACCCCCCAAATCCAGCCACATTATGTTTACTCTCCAAGAGAATTGACCAGATGGGTCCGCGGATTATATGAGGCACTTCGACCTTTGGAGACACTTACTGTGGAGGGCTTAGTTAGAATTTGGGCGCACGAAGCGTTGAGATTGTTTGAAGATCGTTTGGTCGGAGAGGATGAGAGGTTGTGGACCAGTGACGCGGTAAAGCGAGTTGCACTGCAACATTTCCCGGGTATTGACGAACAGAGAGCACTAGGGGGGCCAATTCTATTCTCTAACTGGTTGTCGAAGAATTATGTGCCTGTTGAGCGCGAACAGTTAAGAGATTTTGCCAAAGCAAGATTGAAGACTTTCTGCGAAGAAGAGGTGGACGTGCCTTTAATCTTATTCAATGACGTTTTGGAGCATGTTCTTCGGATTGATAGAGTTTTTAGACAGCCTCAGGGGCACCTAATCTTAATCGGAGTTAGCGGAAGTGGAAAAGTAAGTAACAGTGATTTTGTTTCATGTTATATCTGCTGATTATCTGACACAGACTACACTCTCCCGGTTTGTTGCCTGGATGAATGGCTTGAAGGTTTTTCAAATCAAGGTTCACGGTAAATATTCGGCAGAGGACTTTGACGATGATCTGAGAGATGTACTTCGACGATGCGGCTGTAAGGGTGAGAAAATCTGTTTCATCATGGACGAGTCAAACGTACTGGACTCGGGCTTTTTGGAGCGAATGAATACTTTGCTTGCTAATGCAGAGGTCCCCGGTCTTTTTGAGGGCGACGAATTTGCTGCTCTGATGACGGCATGCAAGGAGGGAGCTCAGCGACAAGGGTTACTTTTAGACTCGCAGGAAGAGCTATATAAGTGGTTCACTCAGCAGATTGTCAAAAATTTGCACGTTGTTTTTACGATGAATCCGCCTGAGGAGGGCCTTTCTTCCAAGGCGGCAACTTCGCCTGCGCTATTCAATCGTTGCGTGCTCAATTGGTTCGGTGATTGGTCGGATCAGGCCTTCTACCAAGTCGGCATGGAACTCACTCAATCCCTTGATTTAGACCGCGCTACATACAGAGCACCCGACAGCATCCCAGTAGCCTACCGCGAACTCGTATTACCACCTTCGCACAGGGAAGCTGTTGTCAATGCCATGGTTTATATCCACCACTCACTCCACCGATTTAACTCAAAGCTTCAAAGGCAACAAAACAAGACAACTTTCCTTACTCCCCGCCACTTCCTTGACTTCGTCGCTCAATATGTCAAGCTTTATAATGAGAAACGTGAAGATCTGGAAGAGCAACAGCGACACTTGAATGTGGGTTTAGAGAAGTTAAAAGATACTGTGGATAAAGTTCGTGACCTGCGTGTCAGTTTGGCTTCAAAACAGCTTCAGCTTGAAAAGAAGAGTGCCGAGGCAAACGAAAAGCTTCAAAGAATGGTTGCAGATCAACAAGAAACAGAGCAGAAGCGTGCGGCATCTCTTGAAGTTCAGGCAGCGTTGGAGGTGCAAGAGAGGGAGGTTGCAGAACGTCGGGAAATCGTTCTGAATGACCTTGCCATGGCTGAACCGGCGGTTATCGAGGCTCAACGATCTGTCAGCAATATCAAGAAACAACATCTTACCGAAGTAAGGGTCATGGGCAAACCTCCGCCAGCAGTTCGTCTTGCTATGGAATCTGTGTGCACTCTTCTGGGCCACAAGGTAGATAGTTGGGCTGGTGTCCAGGCAATCATCAGGCGGGATGACTTCATCTCTAGCATTGTCAACTTCGACAACGAGAGACAAATGACTAGACCGCTTCGCCAGCGCATGATGAAAGACTACCTTTCACAACCAAACTACTCCTTTGAGGCTATGAATAGGGCCAGTAAGGCATGTGGGCCTCTTGTGCAATGGGTGGAGGCTCAGGTCAACTACTCAGAGATCCTCGATCGCGTTGGTCCCTTGAGAGACGAAGTGGATCAATTGGAAGAACAGGCGAAGCAAACAAAGGCCCAAGCTCAGGAAATGCAAGACACTATTGCTGAATTGGAGCAGAGTATTGGAAGGTACAAGGAAGAATATGCTGCTCTTATCAGCGAAACCCAAGCCCTCAAGACCGAAATGTCCCGAGTACAGTTCAAGGTGGATCGCAGCGTCAAACTTCTGGATAGTTTGTCCTCCGAAAGAACTAGATGGGAGGACGGAAGTAGATCATTCGAAACCCAAATTGGGACTCTTGTTGGGGATGTCCTTGTCTCCGCAGCTTTCTTGGCCTATAGTGGGCTTTACGACCAGCAATACCGCAAAGCAATGTCGGATGATTGGCTACATCATCTTTCATTGTCAGGGATCGAGTACAAGCAACATAATCCAATAACAGAATATCTCTCCACTGCAGATGAGCGACTAGTATGGCAAGAAAATGGCCTACCGGTGGATGACCTATGCACAGAGAATGCCATCATCCTCAAGAGGTTCAACCGCTATCCTCTTATCATCGATCCTTCTGGCAGAGTCACAGACTTTTTGGTAAACGAAAGCAAAGAAAGACGTCTCACAGTTACCAGTTTCCTTGACGATTCTTTCACCAAGCAGTTGGAAAGTTCACTACGTTTCGGCAACCCTATACTCATCCAAGATGCAGAACATCTCGATCCAATTCTCAACCACGTCTTGAATAAGGAGTATCAAAAGACTGGTGGCCGTGTTTTAATCCAGCTCGGGAAACAGGAGATCGATTTCTCTCCATCATTCAAACTATTCTTGTCAACTCGTGATCCTTCAGCTACTTTTGCTCCTGATATTTGCAGTCGTGCAACCTTTGTCAACTTTACAGTTACTCAGAGCAGTTTGCAGACACAGTCTTTGAACCAGGTCTTGAAATTTGAGAGACCTGACGTTGATCAGCGCAGAACAAACTTGATGAAACTCCAAGGTGAATTCAAATTGCATCTCAGGCAATTGGAGAAACGCCTTCTTCAAGCATTAAACGAATCGCGGGGAAACATCCTTGACGATGACCGTGTTATTGACACTTTGGAAACGTTAAAGACCGAAGCGGCAGAAGTCTCTCGCAAGATGGCTGAGACAGATGGAGTGATGACCGAGGTGGAGACGATCACATTGCAATACCAAATCATTGCACGCGCTTGTAGTGCTGTTTTTGCGGTGCTTGAACAACTTCACCACTTGAATCATTTCTATCAATTTTCGTTGCAGTAAGTTGATACCATAGATACCATAGATGACTCAAAACTAATGATGATACACCATAGATATTTCCTTGACATCTTTCATACAGTTTTACATGACAACAAGCAGCTACAAGCTGAGAAAGACCATAATGCTCGCATCCAGATTATTCTCCGCTCACTTTTCATCACCACATACCAGCGCACCTCATTAGGACTCCTTCAGAAGGATCGTGTTACCTTAGCGATGCTCCTTGCTCAAGCGTCTCCTTATAAAATGGACAAATCTCTTGTTGACAGAATCCTGGACGAAGGCCTCCCTGGCGTTGACGTCTCCACCGAGACTAACCGAAGAGAAGAGATCATGGGGCGTACATCTATGCTTCCAATTTTCAGAGATCGTATTGGGGATATCCCTTCACAGGACTGGGAGCGGTTCTTTGAAGAGGAAATAGCCGAGAGCTTCATTCCTACCATTTGGGATGAGAACCTGCCAGGTTTGTGATCATACCCCCATTTGACTTAATTCTTATTAATCTCATATTTGCAGAACTTGATAAAGAATTACATAAACTTCTGTTAGTCAAGCTTTTCAGAGTAGACAGATTTGTTCCTTCTGCGGAGAAATTCGTTTCTGTGGTATTTGGGAAAGAGCTTCTAGACGCCTTCGGAGACCTCAAGCAGGTTGTCTCCGAAGTTTCCGCTACCACTCCCATTGCTCTAGCTTCGTCCCCTGGTTTCGACGCCAGTTACAAGGTGGACAGTTTAGTGGAGCAAGTTGGGGCAACATGTACCAACATCGCTATGGGTTCCAATGAGGGGCTTGCCACAGCAGATAAGGCGGTCAGCAATGCTGCCTCTTCCGGATCTTGGGTTCTAGTTAAGAACGTCCACCTTACTCCTGCGTGGCTACAGTCCCTGGAAAAGAGGCTTGACGCACTCCGTCCACATCCAAACTTCAGGCTCTTTCTTTCTATGGAATCGTCACCTAGGATACCGATCAATCTCTTGCGTGCATCTCGAGTTCTCATGTATGAGCAGCCGGCAGGAGTCCGTGCGAATATGAAGGATTCGCTGCAGTCTCTCTCGATGCGTCCAGCAAAGCAACAGCCAACGGAAAAGGCTAGGGTCTATCTGCTTCTCTCCTTTTTGCATGCAGTAGTGCAGGAGAGACTTCGTTATGCCCCCAACCTTGGATGGAAAGGATGGTGGGAATTCAATGATAGTGATGTAAGTTCTGCCCTCAAAATCCCAAGTCAAATATATCTTACTAACCCCTTCGTAGTACGAATGTTCTGCCCATATCATTGATACTTGGGTTGATCACGTCGCGGCTGGTCGCACAAATGTCGCGCCTACAAAACTTCCCTGGGACATGATCCGCACTCTTATCACAGAAACATATGGTGGAAAAATCGACGATGAGGGTGACTTTACTCGTCTTGGTCAACTTGTCAAAGCTGTCTTCACTCCCGATGCTTTTAATACCGACTTCAAATTGGTTGATATCGCTGAAAACCCTCTCTATGTTCCCGAGGGGATTGGCATGCCAGAATTCATACAATGGGTCAATTCTTTGCCAGAGAGGGAGCCACCGACGTACTTGGGATTGCCGGCAAATGCGGAGAAGTTACTGTTGGTTGGTCACGGAAAGGCTATGATCGAAAATTTGGATTCTATTACAAATATGCTAGAAGAGGGGGAGCAGGTTATGGCAGATGCAGCATAGATAATTTCTTAAAGTTCTTGTTTGTATGAATGTTTTTGTAGAATTGCATGGTGGCTTTCTTAATGTCATGATTTTTCGGCGCTATTACACGTTAGATAGGAAGATCTAGGCTCCCTCCGGACCTTGAACTGCATGTTTGTGGAGAAGTAAATGATTTTATACTGTTTTCATGTTATCTATTGTCAGTAAATAATCAACTACCTTCATAGATCGTCACTCGAAACCCTTCTGTACCACTTTTTTTTGTCGTATATGCTCAAAGTGGCTAGCGAACGCTTATATCACTCCAGTAACTGCTCTACCACCTGAGTACTAGCTAGCTATACACCCTAAACAAGAGGGCAACACACAATCAAGATATTGAGTACATGTAGTTATAACAGTCATATCTACCTTCCTTCAGAATGCAATTGAATCCGAGTATTTCGCTTGATAAAAGGAAATTTATTGTGCATGATTACTTTTTGTTGTCCCCCAAATTCCAGAATAACACTGGCAAGAATATGATACAGTCGCCCATCGAGCTTCAATTTTACAACTATGCGAACAAAACCGACTCATCTAGTTCCCCCTTTGGCCTACCTGGCTCGAGTCCCAGTTCGCCCCTCTTTGTCTCTAACCTCTGCTTCTCCTCAGTCCTCGAGTTGTATCTCTGGGCTTTCTTCTTTCTAATTTCTGAACGGACGGCATTTGGCGACACAAACTCCTTGTTCTCATAAATTACCGGCCCACCAAAAGAACCCTCAAGAATGATAATCGGTGTCATAACGAAACGGGGACCAATCTCGACAAGGGAAAGCTCTGTTTGCTCTGATGATTTTTTGGATTTAGGTTTATCGGCTGCGTCTGCATCATCGGTTTTCTTTGGAGCCTCGACCTCCGATACCTGATAATTCCTGAACCAAATCTTCCCGTCGGCAATTGTAAAGCTAAGGACGTGGTCGATGAAAGGTTTGCTCTTCCTTGCTCCTTTGGGAACGCCGAAGACATGGAGAAGGACCTCTTTTATCAGTTTCATGGCAGGTGTTTGGTCAAAGGTTGCATCAAAACTGAGAATAGGTCGAGAGCCCTTTAGGGCGTTTCCGGTGAAATGAAGCTCTTCCATTGTATGCACTACGAGACTCAGTAAACAAACTTCGGAAAATCGACTCGATAGGATGAAATACAATTTTGTACGTGGAGCTTGATGCAAGGTCCATTAGGCGCTTTGCTCATCCACATGTAAAGATCCTGCCGTTTCCGCGCTTCAAAGAAAAGAACGTTGTTGCAGTTATACAGATCTGCAATCTCATTCAAATGATATAGCTTTGACTTTGTGTCTAGTTTGGCGTCTTTGCGGCCGTGGGGAAGCATAGCGACCAAATCATTAAGAAGATGGCGATGTCTAAAAAATTTGTCAGTGCTCAGGTAACGCAAGGTGCCCGCCCAACAGAAGCAGTTTACACACACCTATAAGTTACTCCACGAGATGTCAAGACTAGAACCCTCTGCTTGTTCTTTTTGGTACCTTCTTCATCTTTTGGGGTTTTGGTACCGGTTTTAAAAACGGACTTGTAAACAGATGCCATTACGAGAAATTGGGTGGATTTGTGTTGTATGGTTGTGGTGGAAGATGCGGCGAAGAAATGACTGCAGAGTTGGGTATTCTTAATTTTTGCGGCAGGGTTCATGTATGGCCGGGTAACCCGTCCCCTGTTATGCGAGTCTAGACTGTCTACAAGTAATGCATATTTAGCGGGCTTTGAGATTTCGCCCCTGCCTAAATAGATTAGTATAGCCCAATAATTTTTTGCAGGCTTAAAATGATACTTCTTTCTGGGCCGAATTTCTAAGATGCCATGCGATTGGGCTACTTCACTTTCAAATGCTATTACAATAAATAAGTTTGATGAACCTCGGATTACAGCCGTTAATTTCATAAAACTTGGCCGCATCAACTTTTCACACACATTATATATATAGACCTCAAACCGATTGCCTAGACAGGCAATTTATATTGCCTAAACAAGTATCTGAATTCCAAAAGGTTCCCTAACAAGGCCATCCGGATTGCCCAAGTAGGTAAGTAATCAATTTAAGGTCTCTCAGATTGCACTGTATGTGTTTGAAAAGTTGACGCAACCCTAGAAGTTTTATAATCCATAAGGTCCAAGTAATAAGTATCCCTTCCGGGTAAGACTCCAATAAATCTTTATTTTTGCGATACGGCCCTAAAGAACCTGAAGCTACAAGCACACGTAGCAGCAACTCGACCACAAACGGAGCGGAGACGTTTTAATGTACACACAAAATTGTTTTTATTCTCAGTTGTTAATTCACTTATTATGCGCTAATAGCTCAGTTGGGAGAGCGTCAGACTGAAGTGTTCAGTCAAGTTAATCTGAAGGTCACCCGTTCGATCCGGGTTTGGCGCATTAACTAATTTTGTCATCTTTTTCTTTTTCCCCCCACAGGAAGATATCTGGTTACGAAAACTTAATAGAACTTCAAGCATGGGCCAAAACTATAGTCGCATCTTTAATTGAAATCGTGGCAACAAGAGCACCTACTTCTCGGCAGAATATCTGGATTTTCTTCTATTATAGCAACTTTTCATTCTTTAAATTGCCCCCCCCCCCCCCCCCCCCCCCCAAATCCAGGCAAAAATTGAAATATTTGTATAATTGAAGATGTACTTTAGTAGCTCAAAACAAAACGGCACTAGGAATCTGGAAACGATTCACCAAATGGCGACACGAATGAGGAGGAAGAGACGAGGATCGAGAGGAGAAAACCAGAGAAATGAGGATGGGGTGGGGCGGGCTGAGAGATAGCCCATAGACCCCGCGGGGTAAGGGATCAGTGTGTGTGCAGAAGGACAAATTGTTAACCGGGTTTTATAAGTTACTATTTCTTATTCTCATAAGTCACTATTTCTTGTTTCATAAGTTACGATGATTTCCAATTTGTTACAGGCCATTAGCCTAGTGTTTTACAATCATTTCTTTATTTCCTTATTTCCTTATTGTGTGAGAGGTGGAGGAAGTGATTGGGAAGTTCCGGGGCAGTGTGATATTGTCATAGACTACGGTCTGCATACAATTAATGAATTAAACCGAAAAAGAAAAAAAAGAAAAAAAAAATAGTAACTCAAAACCTCACTGCTTGTAAGATGTACATACATGTACTTACATTGTACTTTGTGTGATCTGTATGCAATTAATGAATTGAACAAAAAAAAAAAAAAATTGAGTGATGTACATACATTGTATCGAGTGAGAATACATGACATGATACTTATGTTGTTTAATCATGCCCTTGTATCAGCCACGTAGTTCGTATGAGTCCTTTGCTGATGCTTGGTGCCCCAATTCTGTCCCGTCAAAGGATGCTCTTCGGTTCAACTCCCGTTTAGCAATCGAAACACGATTTATCTCACATCCACAACCGAACTTTGTCCCCGTATTTTTGATGGAAGGTCTGAAAATAAGTGCAGGGGTTTCTTTAGATGACCTCCCGCCGGAAATCAACAAAATTATTTTGAACCAGCTCACCAAATGCAGAAGAGACCTTGCAAGTTGCCGTTCTCTCAATAGGGTCTTCGAAGTACTCACAAGGCCGATGCTCTTCGAAGTCATACACGTCAAAGCAACCTTCAGGAGTCTAAGAAATCTTCTTAGAGTGTGCTATGGACAACCCCGGATGAATCAATTTGAGAATACAGATACACGCAGATTCAGGCTAGAGCTTGAAGTAAAAGAGGTGATATTTCACGTCACCGACTGCAACGAAAAAACCTGGAACCCTTACGTCCAAGCGGCCCTAGCAGATTATTGTCATCCATGTGCGAATCGAAATGAGTTTTTATGGAATAATTATAAGGATATTGATGACAGATATTTTGCGTTCCAGCGCTCGTTATGGTATAAGGATATGCTCATGGCGGCGCTTTGTCGCCTCGAGAGTCTACATACTATGAGGATTATACATTCGGTTCAAAATGTGGCAGAGTTTCCTTGGGATTATGAAGATTCCCTTGAGGACCCCGAGATGAATTCTCGGCACCATCTGCAACGCCTTTCCCTAAGATCGCTGCATGGTGACCGAGGGGAGCTCGACTCTTTGGCTGTTTTCAGCACTCTGATGAATGCTGCCTGGTCTACGTCGTTTTTCTCCAAGTTAGAGCTAAAATGCTTCACGAACAGTGGTGGAATCGGACAGGACCTATTTCACGATCATGTAACCGTTACACGTGCAGCTACCCTTTTTAAAAACCTGAAAATTCTAGAACTTCAATTCAGCTGCGAGGTTTGGTACGATGATGATAGCCATATGCAACAAAGCCCACTTTTCAATCTCATTTCTCAAGCGACAAAACTTGAGAGACTTAAACTCAGTGGACTGTTCCGGACCTGTGTCAGCGCTGACATCACATGCTATATCGGACCGCCCACTTTCGTCTGGAAATTTTTGAAAGATGTACATTTGGAAGGTTTCGGTTTCACGCAAGTGGAAATCAATGGATTTTTGAGAAATCACAAGGGGACACTCAAGAATGTTGCGCTCTGGAGGTGCGCACTTTTTGAAGGCACTTGGCCAGATGTCATGCGAGTGATCAGGCATGACGATCTGAGACTAGAATGGTTTAGTTTGTACTCCACCTTGGCTGAAGTTGATTTATCGAAGGGAGAGTATGTTTATACTCAGGAACAGAATGAAACCATGGTGAGATATGTTTACGGCAAGGAAGACCTACTGCCGACTAGTGGAGATGCACAGTGGTGGCCCATTCTCTAGAGAAACTACTTATATCGAACTCAGTTTCGGAGGCCTACTACGTACTTGGTATAGATAGCGTGTTATGATTTTTGTCAATTGAGAGTTTCGGGGTACTTAAAATGTTTTTACTTCAAGTATTGATTCTACTCCAGAACGCTGAATCAACACTCTCCTATAATGAATGTTAGTCCACCTGCATGTAGGCCACATATGTAGCATTGTGAAGTAGGTTATAGGGGATCCCTACTGGTACGGCCCACTCTGGGACCAATTGAGAGCAGTAAAATAACAAATTCTAATCCCATAGAGGTTGAAGCAGCAAAAAGATTGAATTGATGCGCCAAACCCGGATCGAACGGGTGACCTTCAGATTAACTTGACTGAACACTTCAGTCTGACGCTCTCCCAACTGAGCTATTAGCGCATTGAAATCCCTGTCCTAAGTTAGTTTTATTAGCACAAATATAAATATCTTGGCCAACTATATTAAGTTCATTATTGTTTGTAAGAGCTAAGGCACCAATGCGCTAATAGCTCAGTTGGGAGAGCGTCAGACTGAAGTGTTCAGTCAAGTTAATCTGAAGGTCACCCGTTCGATCCGGGTTTGGCGCATCAATTCAATCTTTTTGCTGCCTTTTCAAACAATTATTCTCATGAGATGGTGCAGATATTTCACATCCTGGAGTTGCGCCCCCCACGCCTTGTGAGACATGTCTCAGGTGCATCTCAAGTAACACCGACCCGGCTCGGCACACACCAGTCAGAGGTCAAGTAATGTCCACGTGCCCGAGTGCATTATCATGATGCGGATCTCCCCTGCCCAGACGGTCGAGTCCACGTAAGAAAAGCTTATTTTGTCTTGTCTTATTTACAATCTGGCATCATCGCTGTGTGTTTCCCTCAATCATCCCATATCCTGCTGGAACTCCTCATCCTCCTGACTCTTCTCAGTCAAAAACCGTCACGATGGCTTCACAATCCTCCGAGTCAGAGCCAGTGCCGGAGTTGACCATCTCGCCCACCACTTCCGAAGATGAACTGCTCGCAGGCCACAAGCTCATCACCGACTCAGTTGCGCAACAGCGTGCTACAATTGTACGCTCGCTCCTATATGGGCAGCCTCATCTTACGATTCCGCCATATATCCTCTTTCTCTCGTGGCTGTGCTCAAAGAATAATATCCCGACTGCGCTGCTGTTCTGCGCGGGCTGCACCATTGCCATTTTGAGTGCCGTTGGAAGATTTACGGATGGGTATATTGCTGAGGCTGAGAAATTAGGGAGTAAGCGCGGTTATGAGGCGATGATGAAGACTGAGGGGCATGAGGTTGTCGTTGCGAGATGGGGCCCGGATAAGGAGGTCATCGGTGTTGCGGTGGTAAAGGTTGGGGAAGAGAGGGGAGTTTTGAAGGCATTGGCGGTGAGGTTGAGGTATCGCAAACACGGTGTTGGAAGGGGGCTCTTGGAAGAGGCGGTCAGAGTTGTGAGGGCGAAAGTTGGAGCAGAAGCGCCGGTGGTATTTGCAGATCATCATCCTAGTGAGTTACCTACATGTAAATTGATTTCTTTGTGGAGTTGGGCTAATAGTTGCTTGCGTAGACTCATTTAGGCTTGTTTCAGTACCGAAGGTATTTAATACTGTATTTGACAAGGAGGAGGCAAAGGTTCGTGCTATGTTGAATGATGTGGCGAAGATACAGCCGGTATAGGATCCAAGTTTGAAAGCCTCGTTAGAAACCATATTGGAAATAGGCCTGCAGCCTGAGACTCGTATCTTAATTTCTCCTTGAGTTGGCCGGATAGGTCTCCTCGAATACAATACCTCTTTGCGATAATAGAAAGAGTATCAATCCATACATAAATCATAATACTTGGTATCGAAAAGTTGAACAAAAGAAAAGAAAAAGAAAATACCTACATTTCCTGCAAAGAAATAAGTGAAGGAATTGAATAGTGAGGGATAGCAATGAAATATTTAAGAGACCATCATTTTACGATTTCACACTCCCGAGACTCAAACCCCATAGCAAAAAAGAAATAGAAAAAATGTAAAGTAAAGTGAAGTGAAGTAAAAAGTAAAAAAAAGAATACAACAAGTAAAGTGAAAAAGGAAAATCGTATCTACAGAATACTTCCCGCTTTTTTTAGTCCATCGTTGATGGTGATAACTTCACGCTTCGACTTTTCTGCTGTTACGGGCACTTTTCCTTTCTCCATGCGATATAATTGTCCATGAGTGTAGGCCCTGTGTTACTTCAATTAGCCTCAGCCTACAAATTAAATCCCAAAACTTGAGAATCTTACAAGTACTCTCTTCCTCATTAAATCCTACTAAATCCCACGGCACGTGCTTATTGAATGGTAGAAATTGCTCATACTGGTCCCTGGTAATAACCTGCAAAGAGCTCTGGCCTAAAAAGTCCACAAAAGCCTTTCTGTGTGGGAAATCCCCCTCCTTCTCTCCACACTTATTTGCGTTTTCTTCAGAAGGTGTCCAACTCAGCGAATATCTATTCACATCCAGCAAACTCGTAAACAACTCTTGTGCTACTTCCATCGTAAGATTCTTGACATCTGCTGGTTTAAAGTAATTGAAACAAAATTTGTAGAATGTGTCGAATGTTTTGTTTGAGTGTGACGGGGAAACCTCTTTAAGCATCAAAGGTAGTTTTCGAATGAGTGCTTCGTTTGAATCAGCACTGGGGAAACTGTCAGCCTTTATGATCTCCAGGTAGATTGGACGAAACCTTACACTAAGGTGTTCATCCCATACAAAAACTCTTCCTTCGAAATGGTAAAAGTCTGCTTCGCCTTGCATATCCAGGCAATGATATAAAAGACAACGCCTTCAGCCGAAACACCGAGCTCCTCGAGCCATGCTGGAATAGTTCTGTAGGTAATGTTTCCCGGGGATTCGGGATCTACATGAAACACAAAATGTTAACCATGTCGATCTCCCGTAGTACACTACAAAGTACCACAAAACATACCCTCTAAGCTTTCAAACCAATTCTCACAAGTTCTAAGTGAAAACGGCTAACCACAAACCAAAGCATTAGAAACTCATCATCGATTTAGAACCCATGTAAAGAGCTTACCGTATTAGCTCTCTTCTTTGGAGTAGTTGTTGTCGTCCTTGCCTTCTTCGTAGGGCTAGCAGCAGCCTTCTTCTTCGGCCCCGTTTTAGCTTTAGTTTTCACCTCCGGGGCCTCCTCCGAATCCGAGTCAGACGGGACAGGAGCCACTTCGGCGACCGTGCGTTTCCGCTTTCCAACTGTGCTAGCTTTTTTTGAATCTCCAGTAGCGGCGGTGTCTGCAGCGGCAACGCCAGCCTTGGTTTGTGATCTCGACGATCTGGTAGAGGCTGTTGGTGATGGTGCTGGTGCCTTTGTGTTCTTCTTTGGAGGCATAGCTGTAGAGAAACGATGGTAAAGACGAAGGGAGGGGTGGAAGGAAGTACTGTGGAAGGAAGGAAGGAAGGGGTGAAGAGAGAAGAGAGGAGAGTAAAGAACAAGGAGATGCTATTATAAATGTCACTTAGCAGCAACTAAAAGCTAAACAAGTGACGGCGGCAGAATCTTAGTGAAAGAATGCAGACAAGTGAGGCTCAAGCAAGCCCCCGGGGACGTGCCAAGTGCTGGTGGCATCTACATACATACAATCGGACGCGTTGCTGCACGTATCCGCGAGGGGCTTCTTCACGGCCCTGGGAAGGCTTTAGTGGAGGGGAGAAACGACCAAATCGCTGCTCTTTGGATACAAATGTGAGGACGCTGGAGCGTACGCTACGTATATATTGCCAACTGTTGAATTGCAGATTTCTGGCAAATTAACAGCCGGATAGCTCAAGATATAAAAACCTCAAAGTTTCCAATCCTCATTACTTAGCCTCATATATGGACCCCAGCCCCAAGCCCTCAACCCTAGCGCCAATGCTACATACAGCCTTGCATGGTGTAACATCTCGGAACGAAGAAAAACATTAATTCACCAGAGCCTCACCCCACGATATCCGGCGGCACTCTCCACAATGGCAAAGAAGAACATCACCGTAAACCAGATCGTCAAGCTGATTGTCGGCGCTGGCCAGGCCTCGCCCTCACCGCCTGTCGGTCCTGCTCTTGGATCCCGTGGTGTGAAGTCTATGGATTTCTGCAAGGTTACCCCCCCCCCCCCCCCCCACTACAGTTATCTACCCAAGTACCTATACTAACAGACCTAGGAATTCAATGCCAGAACTGCGCACATCGAAACCGTACGTCCACAGCCTTGACCTTCCCTCCCCGGTAACTAATCCACCGTAGGGCATACCGATCCCCGCGCGCATCACAGTTCGGCCCGACCGAACCTTCTCCTTCGAACTCCGTACCCCCGCAGCGTCATGGCTCCTCCGGAAGGCCGCCGGGGTACCTGATGTGAAGGGAAAAATGAAGGGTGCACATAACCCCGGAAAGGAATTTGTGGGCGAGGTCTCACTAAAGCATATCTACGAGATTGCAAAGATCAAGAAGAGTGTGAGCAACCTCCCGCGCGCCCCCACACCCGGAGGAGAATAAAGAGAAATGACAAGTTATACAGGAAGAGCGTCTATCCGGATTATCATTGGAGGCATTAGCAAAGTGCGTTATCGGTACAGCAAAGAGCGCCGGTATCAAGGTCTCCCCATGATCGCTTCCGCAGTTTTCTATATGTATAATATGTTCAGCCCCCACCAATCATCAATTATCACCCGGTGAAAAATTCGATTCCCTTTTTTGGCCGAGATGTATCAGGCCTAAGTATGCAAGCCCCAGGGGGCCGCATATGTATGTATCATTGATATCCGGACCATTGATAGATTATGAATCAGGCAATTTGCAACAAACTTCAAAAGACCTGTTCAATGACGACATCCACCGTTCTAACATTTTGTACAAGCTCGTCAAAAGGAAAAAAAAAGAAAAGTTAACTACAAAAATAAATATGATTAAATCAAGAAACCCCCCAATTGTATAAAAGTATAATAAAAATATCGAAAAA